CAGCGTTCAGGGACGGGTCGTCGCTCTCCATGGGGACGGCCTGTGTCCCGTCCACGAGAGCTGCCCACGTTGGAGTTTGGAAACGGAGGGAATGCCCGGCCTCTCGCGGTGCGAGACTGCTGCATCATGGGCTGTTCTCGCGCTTGCAGGGTCCAACTTTTTGTCCAGCACAAAGGCTCGCCGCGGCAGGGCTGCCAGAAGCCCTGTTGGTTCGCCAGCTGGGCGTTCCACGCGAGTTTTGTCAAGATTGTCAAGCACCTAGACTTTTTCTGGAAGTATGGAATGCGGATCCGACGTTGCACTGATGTTCACGTGAGGGCACTCGGAAACAACCAACCTCGGTGGAATGATGCGTTGAATGATGCGATGCTTGCTAGGAATGCGGCGTGGCCGCTGAGTCATTTCGTGCTGCGTGCAACCGTTTCCACCGCGTTCTTGCCGCCAAAATCCAGTATTGGTCATGTTGGCCCTTGTCCTCGTGCGGCTGCCCGCATGGTCCGGCGCCGTTTCCACAATGCTTGCCGTATTGCACCCCGGTTGTCGCCTGACAGAATAACGCACCCGTCGCAGCAATCTGAGTGCACCAATGGCGAGCATTGTCGCGATGCTGCATCTTTGCATTCTGGCTTTTGATGTTCGGCATTTTCGTCGTGTCAACAGGCGGGTCGATCATGTTCGTGCAACACGGGATGCACAACACTCTCTCGACCGTTCCGTTGGTGACAGTAGCTCTGTCCCCTTCACTTTGGCTGAACTCAGGTCTGCATTGCAACGCTGCGCGTTGGAAAAAGCACCGGGTTGCAAGATCCCATACGCAGCACTATGTGTCGACATTTCGTGGTGGCAGCATGCCGTGCTCAACTTTCTTGAGCTATGCAAGTTGTATGGTTGCGTGCCGTCCATTTGGAAGCATGGGGTGGTCGTCCCAATGGCGAAAAACATCAGTGCCACTGAGCGTAATGATTATCGGCCCATAACTTTTAACTTCATGCTTTGCAAAAACGTTGGAAAAGATGGGTTTAGACCGCATTCGACCGGCAGCAGAATTGCAGCTCGACCCCTCCCAAGCAGGATTTCGCTGGGGATCTGATGTCCAATTCTATACGTTGTGGGAGACGCTTCGATTGCGCAAAATCTCCCGAGCTTTCTGCGCCTTTCTTGACCTCCGAAAAGCTTTCGATGTAGCTTGGCGCGATGGTGCACTTCTAAAATTGTATAGGGCGGGCATCCCCATTCACTTGTGGCATTTGGTGGATGATTTGGTGAGTGACCGAACCGCTGCAGTACGTATCGGATCATGTGTTTCGGACTCGTGGGATGTGGAAAGTGGGGTAGCAAGGTGCTGTTTTGAGTGGTTTCCTTTTCAATTTAGTCATCAACGGGCTTGCCGCCGCCATTGAGCGTGCTTGTGGGGGTGTGTCATGCGGCCCTGACCGCCGGGCACCGCGCCTACAGGTTTTGTCATATGCCGATGACATCGTCATTTTAAGTGACAGCCCTGCTGACCTGCAACGGGGACTTGATGCACCTCGGGATTGGGCCAAGTTCCATTTCAGCATTGGTCCTAACAAATCGGCCTTCGTCGTGTTTGGGCGACGCCGTGCTGGTACACAGCACCTCCGCTTCCATGTTGGTGAGCATGTCCTCCCACGTGTCAGTACGTACAGTTACTTAGGGATCATTCTCCATGAACGCTTGGGGTGGACGCAACACATCGATGAACTTTTATGCCGGGGTGAGCGTAGACTTGCTGCCTGTGTTTCATGGACACAGTCAACTACTTTGCCACTTTTTTTGTGGAGCGCATTTTCCATTCCTATGTGCGACCGTCTGCTTGTTTCGGGTTGGAGTTTGTACCGCAAGGTGCTCAAATTCGCCGGTTTCAAGCTCGCTTAATAAAATGGGGTCGACGGTTGCTTACTTGGCCGCATGGCAGCCCTCGTGTTGCTGTCCAGGGCCAACTTGGTTGGCATGATGCCGACACCTTGCGCCTTTCTCAAGCGGCAAGCCTTTGCGCACGTTTACTCTGCCTTCCTCCTCATTGCTTTGCTGCGCAGCTCCCACAATTTGCATTGAACCAGCCTCTATCGTGGGTCCGTGAAGTATTGGGCGAGCTCTCCTTGCTTGGAGTCCCGCCTCCGCATGCTTACGGTATCCACTTTGGTAGCCCTGCAACTTCGATTAAGCCCTGGCTTCGCACCGTGAAAACGTTGTTAACGCGGCACGCCGACCGCCATTATATGCTTCTTTGCTTCAAGAACGCAACTCCTTCCAGCAGTATGCCTGTTGGCAACCCAGGCCCGCCTTGCACCGCGGTGTCTGTGGACCCGCAGTTGCAACACATCGAGCGCGATATTGGGGATTGGCACGTTGCGGCCATCACCCTTTTGCTGATGGCCGTGCAGCCAGACATCGGGCACTTAGTGCTTCCTTGATCAATTGCCCTTGCCGTTTCTCTGCCCGCAGCGTTGACTCCTTGGCGCATGCTTTGTTTGACTGCCCTGCACACAGTGTTTTGCGACAAAGGTGGGCCAGCCGGTCTCGACATGCATTATCTTTGCACGTTTTGTTCTCCACGGATGGAGATGTCAACATATGTCAACGCGTTCCGTGACATCAGGAACAACATTGATTTCGTTGCGGATGTGTGCATAGCCGCCGAAGCATGTGAGATGTGACAGCATATTTCTGAGCGCGAATTTTTGAATCCGGTTTGTACATACCGGTTCCGTTGATATGATGTGCAACATGCTTGGTTCCGAACTCAGTGATTTGGTGTTAATGTGTTGTTCATAGCATGCTTGGTTCCAGACTTTGTTTTGGGTTGGTTTGTTTGTTTGGTTGTTCTTGGCTTGTTCGTGGTGGTTGACGAACCAGCATGCTTGTCGTAGTTGCTCTCTGACCGTGACCCACGGTCGTTTCCGGACACGCTTCTCTCAGTGTCATGCGTTGGCCCTGGTTCGCCGAGCGCCGGAGAACAGAAAGGTGGGATTATTGATGTTCATTGGTTGGTGCTTTCACTATTTTTCTCTGCGAGCCGGCCCTTATTGCGGAGCTGGGCGCTCAGCTTCAAAACAAGGGCCGGAGAAACTGTCTGAGAAACTTGTTTCAAAATGAGAAGGTGTTTTAGGCTCTTCCAACTGATCAAAGGTAGGATTTTGAATTGTGGCCTTAGACGTAGGCCTTGCGCCCGCTCCTCCCTTTCGCCCGCCATTTCTATGGCACTCGCTGCTCCGATGTTTGCGTCAACCGAGCTTTACGAAGCCTACCGGTGTGCGCTGTGGGCCCATGCGCGTGTGGCGCTGAACCGCTCCTATACACTGGTACACCCATGTATACAACCTTCGGCAGTTACGCATGCATCCAGCAGCGACTTGAGCTCAAGTGCGCGGAACAGGACCGCGTTCTCCAATACAACCCCCATGTTGAAAAGTTGCGAGCATGGTTGCGCCGGCCCACGGGCAAACAAACCCGCTGCGAGCTTTGCCGCCGGCCACCACATGCAGCCGAATTTGCAAGGCAGCTGCCGCCTGAGGTGACGCGCTCTGCGCACCTCGCTATGCGCTTTGGTGGCTGGTGGCTGCCTCCCGGCAGCAAGCCGCGACCGGTGCACTGCTCATCGGGCTTCCTGGACAGATCCCGGCGTTGACTGCATCGTGCAATGTTTCCAGGCCCCATGATGCTGGCCTCATGTCCTCGGTGCTGGCCGCAACGCAAGCAACGGCCCACCTGCCCCGCAACGGCGCGCACTTCGGCAGCTGGGAAGAAATCATTTTCAATCCCCTTGGTGACGAACCTATTGATCTACTGCATGTTTGCGCAGGCGGCAGCGCACTGCTGCCCATGCATCCTGGTAAGCGCGCGCTCGAGACGCATCCTTCCGAACTCACACCAGCATCTCGCGTACTGCTGTTTTCGCAGGCCGTCCCACATTCCGCATGGCCTCCACGGTTCCTTCGCTCTAAAGAGGTTATACACCTCGGTCTGCCCAACGCCCGGCGCATCGAGGCCGCATGCAACTGCCTGCCGCTCTGGCGCACAACTCGCGGGTGACACTTGTCGGCTCTTTTTGTAGGACGGCCGGCCGCACCAGGCGCTGCTGTGTGCACAGCTGCTGGGCGCAAGTGCAAGCAAACCGACGGTGCCGCATGGTTGTGTTTGGACTCGAGGTTGGCGGCCGCTGGGCCCCTTGCTCCGCCTGCTCGCGCGATCCAGCGCTTCTGCCACCCGGCATCCGCCCAGCTGCACAGGCAGCCTGGGTGCCCCCGTGAGTGGCCTTGTTGCTATTGCTGCGCAGCGGGCGCTTGCAACCACGTTCCTCGAGCTGCCGCTGCACGTTGAAAGCTGCCGCTGCATGCTGAGCTATGTGCTCCCGGACTAGATCCGGCTTACACGAGCTCCGCGCGTAGCGGGGATGCAGGCGCTGACTGCGGTTGACAGTGTTTAACGATGTTTAACGTAGTTTTCCTTTTTGCAAAACCTGCGTCGACCAGCAACGGCCCTTCAAGAACCTACCCTACTCTACCCCGCTGGGGCGTCGGCAGGCGACTGTGCCCTGCAGGCGAGTGTCCGTTCCGGTTCCGCGAAGTCGAGGACGCGGACAAAGTCTGGGCCAACGCGCTGTGCGGGCCATGAGAACATGGCTAACCTGCCACTGAAAGTTGGCACCGGCACCGCAACGTCCAGGCCGCCCGCGTTGCGCTCGGTATCCGGCAAATGCCAACAAAGGTGAAGCCTGGAACGAGGGCACGCGATGCGCTTCGCGAGGGTCGATGCTTGCATGCTACGAAGTTTATCAAGGGGACCTTCCAACCCGACGGCAATAATTTTCACTACGACGACGGCTGTTGATCGCTGACAGCTTGTTTTTCTCACCGATGCTGCGACAGCCCCGTCTGGCCCGAGACACACCATAGCTAACTCTTCGACCGAAGCTTCTGAGAAAAAACCGAGATTGTGCGTGCAAAATGTTGTAAAGGGTGCCTGCGGCTTACTCTGCTATGGCGGAGCACGATGATATAACATCTATGGGCTGGGCCGGCATCCTGGCAGGCCACGAGATGACAAATTCAGATCAGCTTGCTGTAGGTATGACATGATTGCACTCAGCACCTCCGTGCAACAGGAGGAAGGGTTGCTGGGTCAGAGACCTTGTAACGAGATCCGAGACATGTGACATCGTCTAGCTCAATAAAAATCCACCATGTGAGCAAAATGAGTTGTGCAGGGCGACGTTCTTGGCAGCACAGGTATTGCACCGTGTGTGGCCGTTTGTTAACAAAATATACACCCCAACCGACACTGTAGAGGCTGGAATCGAGGTTTGATCGGTTTGGAAAAAATTGGACGCTGGGCTTTGTCCGATGTGTTGCAAGTTTTACGTGGATGGACTTGCATGCGGTTTCTTTCAAGGGTTTTCATTTCGAGGTGGCGTGCTTGCTGCGGCAGCTCTTGGGCTTTACCAAGAGGGGAAGTATCAGAAGAAGGCAGTTGGACCGAGACTTGCCAGCTCTGTTGGTTTTCTGATGCATTGAAGGAATTCCAGCTCCTCCAATCATTGGCGATTACTGGCCACCCAGCTGGCAATTGCTTGTTTCCGGGATATTGAAGCAGCATGGTTTGAACGAAAGCTTTGGGTGGAGGCGTGGGCGAGGCATGCGCCGCAGCCCAACGAGATGGCAAGATGCGGAATGTGCAACTCAGCGGGGAAAGCTACACCGATGAGCCGTTGACCAGCCAGGTTCGATGATATGGTCACATAGGGTTCAGTATACCAGGAGATCCGAGACCAACATGCACACAAAATGCAATTAAATTGCCACCTTAAAAGTTCAAAGAAGCAGAGTCTTGTGCTGCAGGACATCATGTTGTGCGACATGCCATGTAGCAGCCCAGTTGCCTGACCGATCATAGACCTACCCGCAAACCCTGAAGGCTGGGGCCCCCGCATTGGCAGTGCTGAGAAGAAAGTTGGTAAAGTCGGAGGAATATGAATGGCGGAAAGGAAGCAAGATCTACGAAAGGAGAGAGGTCACCGATCAGCACGGTCAGAAGCATGTGAAAGAAGTGGATACGGGCCGTCGAGAGCAAGGCGAATGGATCCCACAGGTGCGCTTCCGCGAGGTGGAGAAGAACACGCTGATTGCTCCCACTGGTGTTTGTTTTCGGCAGCTTGGGGCGGTTCAATCGAATTGGCAACTTTCTGCCACGCCCCAAATATGCTTGAATCTCGCGAACTTCGACGTGAACCGGCTTCTGCAATGTCAGCCGGAAACGACAACTTTCGAGTCGCAGGAGATGGTGCAAGGAGGGGTCAGTGTCAATGTCAACGTCAACAATGACTCTAACAGTCGACCGCCACGACCTGCCAATCGTGTCCTTGGGGTCGAGACTAGGGAACGTTTTCTTCCTGTGGGCCAAGAAGTCCATGCCTTGGGCGATGTGGTTTGGCGCTACAGAGCTTCCATCAAGGGCATGCAGGGTGGTGGAGGAAGCCTGGCCGTGTTGCAGCCCAGCCAGGCTCGAGATGCCAAAACAAATTAAATAAGACGCAAGTATGCCGAGATGTGAAATATTCGGAATGTGCGGGGACGTGGCTAGTAAGGATGGCCATTGAAAGCATGTCTCGTCGTTGTTCTGGTTTTGCGCATATCTCGTATGATTTGTACATACTTATACAATACATAATCGGCAACTGCTGGCCCGTTGTAGCGGCCTGCCTCCTCGTGCTGCGCAGGTTGGGCCGTTTGGCTTTGCTTATGGCTCCCGGGACGATATTCTGTTGAGGAAGGCTGCATCGCTTAGGGAGTCGAGCAACGGTGCAATGATCTGTGGTGGATTGGGTATTTGCAGCATGGCTTTCGGAACCATAGCGTTGCTTAGTGCAAGCAGCTAAGAGGACAGTTGGATGCATTGCGAATGGCAAATGATGCGTGGTTCTTGTCGGTGCTGCCGCTGGAAGGACTCTTGTCACGTGTCTTCGTGTTACGCGGCAGCCAGAGCGTTCGCCTGTAGTTTCTTCTCCGATCCCAGCAGCTTGGAGCAGGCCGCAGCAGACGAGTTGTCCTGCGGAAGCCATGCGGAATGGAACAACGACTTTTGCACGCTTTGGCGCTTACACTCGTCGTTCTGTCCTTCGTCATGGCACATCCCGGAGACATTCAATCGCACCCGGGCTGCATGTTGAAAATGTTTGAGCGATGCCAGTGGAATGGTCCAGCACCGAAGCAACCTGTAAGTCAGCAAAGAGAGGGATTGCAAGCGGTCCGTTGTTTGCTTGTGCAAAAGCAGCGTTCAGCAAACGATCCGACCAGTTCGCACATTGGGCAACACATCGAGGCAAGAAGCTGCACGAGGTATTGATGCAATCCTTCTTGTTGTAACCCTCCATGACCCACCTCCCAGGTGTTTGTCAGTCTCAAACTTCCCGCTGTTAGCAGTATATTGGCTCATGAGGACGAGAGGAAGGTAGCGCGGCATCACGAAGACCAGTCATTTCAGCACACCATTCCCACCCGCAACTAAGACCGACAGCAATCAGTGATCAGCCTTCACAATAATCGTTTGCATGCCGTCGATAGTCAGCTACAAAAGGTGGGCCAGCGGAAGTGTATTGCTGCCGCGAGAGTTGTCTTTGTACACCGCAGGTGGCATCATGGCGCATGATGAGGCTGGAAGCTGTTGCAGGATGCGTATTCTGCCGTTGTCGCTGTGAAACAAGGACGGGCCACTCTCCTTCTTGGACCGGTTGTTGGAAGAGGACTGCGTCATCCTCTTTGACAAGTTTTTGATGTAGCTCCTCCTTATGCCACTCGCAGGAAAGACACAGCAACTTGCATTTGGGAGTTTGAGCCTCAGGGCATCTTGTCCATGCCGCATCTATGCATATGTACATCAGGTGCATCTTTGTAGAACCAGATTGAGATGCCAAGGATGTTCGGTTTTGGAAGCACCTGGAACACATGGACAGCAGCTCGAGCCACTGTATGTAGTGGACGGCTAGCACTGCTGTCGTTGCTGTATTCCTGCATGCCGTCTTTCTGACAGCACCGTCTGAGAGGTCACATCTATCGCACGAAGTCCCTCGAGTACAAGACCATGAAGCTCATGTTCTGCGAGGTGTGGCTGCCATGCTGGTGTTTCGCGGAGACGCGTGATTTTGTGTAAGTTCCATGCCGCACCAACTGCTTTCGGAAGAGCTTGTCGTCCAGCCGTTCCGTTTGGCTCAAAACAGTTTCAGTTGGTATGTGTTCAGAGTGATGTTCAAAAAGACGAAGCAGCCGGAGCACATCGTGGGACATCGTTTGAAAGGCGTGAACTCGAAGCGCGACCCGCTCTTGGATGAGAAGCTTGGATCCAACAAGCGCAGTCGAGTAGAGGATGGCTCCTCCTCGGTCATTTACAAAGAGACCCCAGACGAAAAGAAGGCCCGCCTCCAAGCGGAAAGGCAAGCAGAAAAGGATCTGAAAGCCCAAAGCCGGAAAGGAGGACTGGGCCCCAGCAAGGCGAGCATCCTGGGTCTTCCTGAGCCAGAAGAGGCAGAGGATGCTGCAGAGGTTTCTCCAGCAACACGCGTGCCTTTGTCCCAGAAAGAGGCAAAGACCACTCTGGCTTCGTTCCGCGAGCGCTTGCGGGGCTCCAAGCTGCCTGAGCAGGCTGCTGCGGCAGAGACGCGACACAGGGCAGAGCTGGAGGCGGAGACTGCCAAAGCACTCGCTGCCAAGGAAGACAAGAAGGCAAAATCAGGTCCGCCTGATGCCGATGAACGCCTGACCATGAATGACATATGGAAAGCAGGCGAAGGAGATCGACATGCTTCGCATCCGCTGTCTTCTTGTTGTGCATGTGCATGTCCGATCGTTGTGTCCAGCCGTTTATGCGCTGCAGGAGATGATGAAGACGGCTCAGCAGGAGATTGGCTGGGCGGCGATGGTCTGAAGTTTCACACTACTGCGGACAAGGCCTTTTCAATGGCAAGCAAGCGCTTCAAAGATGCAGATGGTCCAGACATTGCAGCAAATCGAGAAGCGGCTGCTTCAGTAGCGAAGAAGCAAAGTGAAATGCGGATGGCAGAAATGCGCCGACAGCAGAAGAAGTGAATGCTTTCGCGGAAAAGGAGCTCCTTGTTCATTTTGCATGCCAGCCTTGCGTTTATGCTGCAGCAATGGCTAGTTCCGCGTGCAGGGCGTGTTCTTCGCCTTGTTCCTGTTCGTGCTCACCACGTACTTGATTTCAGAAAAAGCCGGCGATTTGTACTCAAGCCGCAGGCCCTGACATGATGTGATGTTTCGTGTTCTGGGAAAAGGCCTTGGCTTAGTCTCGGCACATGGCCGGTCTGGTGCCTGCAGGCAGCAGCTGGACTACTGGGGCGGTTGCACCATGCAGGTTGTCGGCCCAGTTGGGTTCAGCGCAGTGTTCAGTCTAAATAGTCACAGTCTCCACCTCTGCCAGGCGACCACCAGCACCTGCAAGGTAAATGTAGATTTCTCAGTGCCGTCCAGTGTCTTTCGCTTTACCTGGTTATTCTTCGCTTGTAGATCAGCAGGAAGGGCTTGAATGACGTTATGCCCAGGATGTCAAGGACATTCCCTCTCTCCTTTCATGGTTGAGAGATGATTTTATTCCATTGGCCTGGAGCTCAGATCAGTCGCTGTCCCGGGCTTCTGGCAATGGAGATCATGAGGCGTTTACCGACCGCACCGAATATCCTTCCGTTGTTATGTCCGGGAACTCAGTGCTGAAAGGCTTGCGTAAGGCGATGGCAATTCGTGTCAACATGGCTAGCAGCTAGGTCGCCTTCCGTCTTCAGACTGCAGGCCAGCTGAGTGTAGCTTTTGGGAAAGCATGCATGTTCCGTTGGTCCGTGGTGCTCATGTGAGGACGGCACGATGCACTGGACACCACGTTACGTCGCGCCCTCGAGTGTTTCGCAACGCATTGGACCCTGCTTGGCAGTCTGTGGCCATAGCCAAGGTTGGCGACACTCAAACCTCAGTCCTTATCGGGACGATCCGTATGCGGCAAGTCAGAGTGCAATACAGTCAAGCCGTTCTCTCAGCATGGCTTAAGATGTGGCTCGGCATGCTTGGGATCACGACTGCCTGTGCGATTGTGGTGTTGCTGCATGGCAGGAGATGTCGTAGTGCGACGGTGAAGCCATGAGTTCCCTATAGGGCATGCCCAGCAGGCCTGTAGCATCCTCGACGAGCTGAATGACATTGGGGTCACTGCACCAGCCTCAGCACGAACGTGCATGTGTGGTCTGGGAAACAGCATTGATTGCTGAAGCTGCCGAATCTAGGATTGCTTTGCAGACTACAGCGATGCAGTGCAGAGTCGCCTGCCATGGGCGCCAGCCTGGACCCCTCTCCATTTGAAGGCCACGAAAAGAGAGACTCGGACTCTCCGGTTGGCTTCACAGCGCAAGCCGAAGGACCACTACCAGTTCCGGAGTGCTAATGTCACCGAGCAGCGAGAATTTGTCGGCAGGCGCTTTCAAGACTTTCCGCTGCATGATGCCCGGTTCCGGTGCTTCTTTCCACTTGATCGCAGGTACGCCGTCTATCCGGGCGACGGTTTCGTCCTCGACTTGGGGCTGAACCTCACTGGTGCACAGACCAGGCCTCCGCATTGGAGTCGCGCTGACATGGATGAAAGGGAGCTCGGAGTCCCTTGACGTGCTGTTTTCAGGATGCTGGAGTTGGAGTACTGGAAGTGGTTAGACTTTCGCACCCGTGTTCTCCTTACGATGCGGCTTCAGAATTTTTTTTTGCCGACCTGGGCTTCCAAAAGAGATGTTCTCAGGTGCCTTCATGATTGAGTTGAATACTATCAACCCCAACGTGAACAGTTTCGTGCACAGCAGGACTGTGCCGCAAACTATTGCTTCAGCTATGCAAGTGCTTGAATGATGTTCAGCTCCGCAGCAGTTGGGAATGAATGCCTTCCAGAGGTCTGAGCTGTCCCATTCTACCTGCCAGCTACGATTGTTGGAGGATACTCTTCGAATTCCCAGCAGCTGGTGGCGTGCTCATCCGCCAAGAGGCTGAACTTTGAACGCGCGAATTCTGGAAGTAATCGGCGATCCAGTGCAGCAGGCTTTTCCTTTCCGTGCTGTACAGCTCTCATTGCCAGACCCTTGGGTATTCTTCGGATGAGTCGAAGTTGCTTCCGAGTTCTGGTTGCAAAGGGCCCTCATGGCTGCGGACGACTTCGGTGGCAGCTTCGTATATCTGGCCCGAACCCCCAGGAATCACGAACTCCAGAAAATTGCGACTCCCCGATCTTCCCAAAACTTGATGTGGAGCTCGTTTGCAAGTTAAGGTTCTTACTTGCGGCTTCAGCATTCTTTTCGCCATCTATGCTGTTAGCTGAGATGACAGCACCAGCTTGCAACTTTGTGTGCACACCGTTCCGGTCCTTGCATCCTTCTGCCCAGAATATTTGGTTGATCTACAAGAACGGCGCACGTTTTTTCACATACTTCTGGTCCAACGTGCATGCCCCAGCATCGCAGCACTCACCGCTGTGTTGCAAGCCATGAGGCACTCCGAATCGTCTTTTTGTGCCTATGTGGAACAGCTGAGGTGGATTTGTTGAGCCTTGTGGTGAGCCCACCTGGCTTGGGGAGGGAGAAGCCTCGCTTTGCAGTGCACGGGGGTTTTGCATGCCGCAGTCTGTGCTCAGACTTGAATTCTGTCTTTATCCTCCAAATCTCAGCCTTGACGCTACCATGGGCACGCCGTGACGTGTGGCTGCTTCTGCCCGATGCCTTGTGCATGTGGTCGTGGCCAGTCTGCGCAGCTCTGCCGGCAATTGGTGTCTTGTAGATAGGCCTCGCGCTGACGGACATTGGAGACGACAGACAAGGAGCAGCTCGTAACAGTTTCCCAAATCCCTATGCCACTCGGGAGTCTCGCTTGGCAACGTGTGCTTTGCACCCCTGCCAAAAAGCGCGAGTAGTCAGCCCTGAACGACAACCAGTATGCCTCACAATGTTTGTACGAGGCTTCCAAATAACCACACTACTCGCGTAATTGCTATGATAAGAGCGAGTAGCGGCAAGGTTCAGCACGGAAACACGAGACTAGATACGAGGCTTGGTTTTGGCCTGCTCTTGCATTAGGAGTGGCAGAGCGTCAACAATTCAAAAATCTCTGAGGAAGTTGTCATCTGCACAGATCACGACAGCCTCTGGACAAGCATATGTTGTCAGGTTTCGAGCTGCAGATCAGGGCAGTGACGGTGAGCAGTCTGAGAGAGGTTGATGCAGCCTAGGCTGTCAAAGAGCATGGAAAGAATAGTCGCTGGCAGCAAGCTGTGTTTCTGGCGGAACAGCGGCAGCCAATACCCTTTGACACATGCAGCGCTGTGATCGGTGCGTGTGGAAACGGACTGCAGTGGCAAATGGCCTTGATTTTTCTCTCCAAGCATCTGCGACAATCTCCGAGACTGAATGCTTATGTATGTGTTGCTGCGATCAATGCCGTTTCGAAGGTTTCTCAGTGGCGGCGAGCTTCTCTTATATTGCGGATGATGCAGGCTGATAGCTTGCCTGCAAACCTATATGCATACAGTGCCGTGCTCAGTGCCATGCAGAAGGCGGCACGCTGGAAGGAAGCCCTGGATATTCTTGCAGATGCTGCAAGCCGGACTGTGCAGAGGAATGTTGTTACAGTGAATGCAGCAGTGAGTGCCTGTGCAGCTGCTGGAGCCTGGGAGAAAGCAGGCTTTTTACTGGAAGAACTGGCATCCGAAGATCAAGCTGATCAGATAACTCTCAATGCTTTCATGCATGCCCTGTCGCGCGGGGCGCAGTGGCAGTTGGCATTGTCCTCGTTCGCCGAGCTGCCCGTGCGGGAGGTTGAGAACAATGCACGGACAGTAGTGGCAGTAATGACCGCATGCCAGAGGGCAGAGCGTTGGCAGCATGCACTGCAGGTATTCAAATCCTGCAACACACAAGCCGTTCAGAGAAACCTTGTGACATACAACGCTGCCGTGAGCTCGTGTGCTGCTGGCAGCAACTGGCAACTTGCTTTAGCGGCTGTAGCTTTTCCTGACGGAGAGTTTCGCACAGACATCATCACATTCAACGCAGCCATGGACGCTTTGGCAAATGCGGGGCAGTGGGAACAAACCCTGCAGCTATTGATGCATCTGCATCAGCACGTACGAGCAAACCTTGTGACCTATAACACGCTCTTAGCTGCGTGCGAGAGGAGTGGGCAATGGGAGTGCGCCCTTCAAGTTTTCTACCGATTAAACCATGTTGGGATGCAGGCAGACACTATCAGCTTCAACACTTTGATTAGCACCTGCTCGAAAGCGAATCGATGGCAAGACGGACTGAGACTTTTGGAACTGATGCTGGCGGCAGGACTGGCGGAGGATACTATGAGTGGTACTGGAATCATAAAAGCTTGTGCCTCATGTGCTCAATGGCAATGGGCCCTGCGTGTCCTTGATCTGTATGGCGAGCGCGCAGACTTGAGACTGTACTCTGGGGGCATGAATGCATGCCAGAAGAGTTCGGCTTGGCAAACAGCTATATGTGTTTTCTCGCAAATACGAGGTAAGGACTTGCGTGCTGACGCTGTGGCGCTAAACTCTCTGATTGGCCGCTTGGTGGCAGTTTGGGTCAGAGATGTATCGCCGCCTCTGAGTGGTTCGAGCCAGAGGATGTATGTTGCAGGGACCTTGTCCAACTGTTGAAGACGACTGGAGTTAGCCATCTAGTAAATTCCGTGAGCCAACAAGTCTTCAAGAGCCTTCCGGGTGAGACATGCCTCTAGAGTCGACAAATCGACAAACTATCATGCTGATTGCGAGTGGGGATCAGAGGATATCAGAGGTATGTGGTCGGTCGGTCATATGTCATATGCGTGATGTAGACATGCCATCACGCAGCCAAATCCCCACAGGTGCCTTGGAAGCAGCCGGAGAATGGGAGCGCTTGGTCTCTGCTCTCGCAGAGCCAGGGGCTTTCTCCCTGGCTGACTCCAGGACCTGCGCTTCGGCTCTGTGTGCCTGCCTGCGATCCGGGAGTTGGTCGTTGGCAGTGTCTCTTTGGCAATCCTTCAGGCAGGTGGGCCTTCGCCCGGATGTGGTGGCAATGGATTCTGTTATCAGTGCATGCGCAAGCTCCGAGATGTGGGCTCTTGGACGCTTCTTCCTCCTAGAATCCGAGGGCACGCCAAGTCGAAGTCCCTTGCAATTTCTGTGGGCTCTGGCGGAGCTTGGAATCTCTGACAAGTTCGTTATTGCAAGCACATGTCGCGAGGTTGTCCTCAGCTTTTATTCATCGCGGTGGACGGCTGCTGATGTGGCGCTTTACGGATGGTCGGCTGCCATGTTGGGTGTGTCCTGTGCAGCCTTGTCCAAGTCCATTGCCAAGTACCTCTGTCAGTTCAGCTGGCCATATTTTTCTTGCATGTCTCCCAGGCAGATTCTGTACAAGTAAGATGGTTGGCTGGGCACTTCATTCACCTTTTCGCAAGCTTAGTCCGAGGCTCGCGCTGTCCCAGGATGCCTTCAGCCTCCGGCAGTTTGCTGAGCTGGCGTTGCTTGAAGAGCCGGAGCTGGTGAGCATGAGCCAGGAGACTTGGAGTTTGAAGTTTCAAGCGCGAAAAGGGGCTCCTGTGACTTCCCGTTTCTTGGGAGGTTTCGGCCCAGAAGCTTTTGTTCTCAGAGCAGCTGCAGCAGCTCTCGTTCGCGGAGCATGGCCTTTTCGTGCCTTGCACCAGAAAGCCAAGCTTTTTTGTGACGCTTAAATCAGGCTCCTGATTTGCTTCGAGTGCTCCTCGCCCCTAGGTTCTTGCCGTGCTCCGGGCATCTTGGCTGTGTGATCTTCTTCGAAGGGATTTCCTTACGTCAGTCCGGGCTGCCCTGCGGCAAGTGGGCAGATCCATGGACACCTCGGTGCCAGTGGCATCAGACCTTCATCGCCGTCCCCGGCCAGTTCACCCTGAACCACGGCTCACTGCAGGCCGGTTTAAGGAAGCTCTTGTTCCGGTGCACAGAGATGTGCTAAATCGTTGGGCAGTCTCCAGCCGTGTGGCAACACTGTGGGTTCTTACGTCTGGTCTAAGTGGATGAGATACGCGACGCCGTGAGGCGGGAACTGGTGATTCCGTCACAGTCCCGTGGGCCGTGGTCATTTGACTGTCAAATCGCTTGATGTCTTCCATTCGTAGTCGCGAGTTCTGGGATGCCGGTAGTGCTGGTGCCGCAGTGTGGTGTGCAATTTCAGGTCTAGGGTTCTAGGATGATCTAGGATGGTTTTCGGAGCTGCAGATGTCCGCGTTTAAGAGTGCTCGGCTGTTGAGGGCTGAGCAGCCCACTGGTAGGCGCTCCGTCGTTGTTCGCCAGAGGCCAGCCGGTACTGTGGGAGCATTCCGTCGACAACGTTGTGGTGTACAAGCCCGCGAACTGGGAAGTTTACGGTCGACACACAAAGCTTCAGCTTGCAGATTTTGTGCGGTCAACTTTGGGCCTGAAGCCCATTTTCGAAGATGCCGAACACAACTATGGCTTCTTGCATCGCTTGGATGTGCCAAGCTCTGGATTGATTCTGCTGGCTAAGACGTATGAAGCCTGGTACGATCTCCAGGTGCAGCTCTACGCCGGAGAGATCGGACGCGAGTACCGAGTGCTCTGCCACGGATGGGTCCCTTCCCCTCGTCTTGAGATCCGTGCCCGGGTGCGGGAGGGAGTCCTGGAGCCCACGAAGTCGGGGGGACGGGGGAAAGAGAGCATCACAAAGCTCGAAGTCTTGAAGAGGCTCGGGCCCGGTGGGCTTGGGCGCCATGTTGCGATCACCCAGCTTTCTGTGGAGATCCTCACGGGACGCAAACATCAAATCCGGAGCCACTTTGCGTACATCGGGCATCCAACAATTCGAGATGGGCTGTATTCCAGTGCATCCACCTTTAAAGCCGACTTGGTTTTCTGCGCCAGAAACTGGTTGCATAGGCACAGGTTGTCTTTCAAAGATGCAGAGGGGCGTCGGCACGATGTCTGCTGTCCCCTGCCGAGTGATTTGAGCCTCGGGCCAGAGCCCAGCAATAACAATTGAAGGCTATTCGAGTTGCGTGCGGGAGCTGATGTGTTCGTCCATGAATAGTTCCTAGCTGTGATCACTGTGTGTACGGCTCGAAGTGTTGGACGGTGCCATGAAGCTGTATGCACTTGGTGATGCACTAAGCTTCCAGGCAGCAGTTAGCCGTTAGCCTTGCACTTTCTGCAGCTTGAGCCTTACAAAGCCTTACGTAGATGTTCAAGGATAGAGGGTGCGCCGGAAACCTGAGAAACCGAGGCTACCTCTTGGATCTATTGCCCAACACTCTGAGCCAGGCTGCCTCCTTCTCAGATTGACTTCAGTCTCGGTTCAGGTTGAGTCTGAGTCACTGCTTGAGAAGAGCCGAGGTCAACAACACCGACTCCTGCCAGTTTCACAGCGGAGGTCATGGAGCCGTTCGAGTGAGCATCGCAAGCGACAATGTCCGCAGCCTCATCTTCGACGATGATCCAGGCTTGTCTGGGGAAGCTGAATTCCGATCGCAGGGATGCCCCTGGCAGGCTATGTGGAAGCCTCGGTTGCTTGTGCCTGGGCAGCACAGGCTTCGAGACAGGAATGTTGAACAGGAGCCTCGACTCTTCTGACAGGCACGGGCAGCAAGCCCCACCTCCTCCGCTGGCCTTGGTCAAAGGCACCGGAGCATCTGAGCTGCGAGGATCCGGCTGTGCGTGACAAGTATCGCTGCGAGGCACGCTCGTGTTTCGTGCTTCGGCCGTCAAGTCTTTGGGCTTTCTGGTTTGCCTGACAGGCGCCGAACATAGACAAAACAGACTGGCCCGTGCAGTGGGTGCCGTGGTTGGAGCAGTGCCGCATCAGACCCCAGAAGATCTTATTCTTGGGGCTTGGAGGCACGTCGGTCCAGTGAAAACGAACCTGTCAAGTCCTGTGTTGTCGGTTCGACTGGTTTGCTTGTACCTGTGAGCCTACAGCAGTTTGGTACTGGCGGCTGCTTGAGGTGGCTACTACCAGAGCTATCTGGCAAGTCAGTGCCCAGCTTCTCGGACGTTGACTCTGGAAAACAACGCCACCATCGTAGAGGCTGCTCGCGACTTCTTCGGCTTCCAAGGCACCCGACTCCGGACCAAGCAGAGCAACTAAAGTGTGCAAGTCGATTGCTTATCCTAGCTTTGTGTGCGCCTGGCGAGGTGACGTGATGCTGGCAGATGCAACGTCTGGCATGAAGCACCTGCTGAAGCATGGTGAGAAGTTTGAAACTCGGCGGCCACTGTGCGACCAGTGTGGCTTTGTCCCGATCTTGGGCCAAGCTTTGCTTTGCATGTTGTCAGTCCGAGGATGCCGTCATTAGTGACTTGGGGCAGCGTCAGATGGAGTCCCGTGACCTGAAGCTGGCACAAAAGCTGCTGAGACCAGGCGCACCGAGGAAATCGTCCATCATGCTTCCCATCCATTGCATCGGTTATGACTTATGACGTTTACATAAGTCTTTAGGAATAGACGGTATAAGACGTGTTAGTGACTAAGCAGTGTCACCAGGTGGCACGTTTCTCTTTCAGTGGTGTTATGGTGGACTCCGCAAGCATGAGATGAAGCTAGACAAAATGATGGATGCTTGGCTTGTCATGGTTTGCCTCGTGGGGGTGGCATGGCCTGCAGGATTTGGAGCACAAGTTCAGCACGAGGTGGAAAGGCCCTAACAGGGAATGGTAAGCTTGTAAGCTTGCATATGTCAGGCTTGCTTGGGTTCTCTCAAGTTGACAGAGGTGGCAGTTCTGTTCACACCTCTTCAGGCCAGCTGGAATTCTTACTGTGTCCTGTTCAATGTCATCCGGATCTGGTTCGTCATAGAATGCTGGCCTGAAGCACACCACCCCTGCTGAACAACCTGTTATGCTGACATGGGGATGTTGTAGGCTTGCGAATGCTCTGCGCGTTAAGGACTACTTTGTCGATGTCAGTGCTGCTGCAGACAGAGACGGCGACCTGGCCTTGCAATCCAAAGCAGAAGAAGCCTCTCTTTCGGCAGAGCGGTCACTTGTGCAAAGATTTGCCCGTTCGCTTGTGCAAAGGGTTGGGCGTTCGCTTGTACGCGCGGAGGTGCGTTTTGTATTGGCAGGGCCAATGAATTCGGAGTTCGTTACTTGTAACTTTGCTATGTTCGGGAGGCTTGAAAGTGCACGAAACGTCGGCAGGGCCGTGGTTTCCGGCTTTGGGCGTGCACGCTCGAAATCGCGCTTTTTGGCTCCGAAGTTGTTAAAGTGCTGGCAGGGCCACAGGATTCGGCTTCGCTGCGTCGGTCTTCAGCCCCTGTTTTGAAGCATTTGAAAGCAAGCAATCGACTCCAAACCTCGACAGGGGCGGCGGTTTTGCTTCACGCCGCAGGCGTTCGAAACGATGTTGGTTATTCGCAGATGGTGGAAAGAAAGCGTGTTTTGCAAGCCCATTCCTGCAACATGCAGTTCTTCTTCTTGGATTCTGCGGCTGTTCTGTCGTCGGAACCCCTCCAAAACGTGCTTTTGGAGCCTGCAAAAGTGCGTTCTGGAGGTCAGTTCGGAGTTTGCGCTTTGCGGGAGGCAGCAGTTTGGCGTGTCCAACGCGAGGTGTCGGCTACTGGCCAGGCCAAGCCAAGCTTCTTCATGTGGAACCCAGCACGAGCGAGTCAGGGGGACGAAAGCAGCGGTTACCTCGCTTGCCTCGCCTCCGAGCGGCATGAGGTTCGGACCTTCCAAAACCTGCTTTTCCAGGCTGCAAAAGCACATTTCGGCGGTCCGTTCAGAGTTTGTGCTTTGCAGGATCCGAGCGCGCTTTGGTGCACAGGTCACAGGATGGGGCTTCGCCGCTTCGGTTCTTAGGCTCTGTTTTCAAGCACTTGAGGGCAAACAAGCGACTCGACACCTCGACGGGGGCGGCGGTTTTGCTGCATGCGGGCAAGCAAGCGACTCGAAACCTATTAGCCCCCCACTGGTGCCGACAAGACTTCTCTTGCTGCGCGCGTCGAACACGGACGTGATTATCCCCGCAAGCGTCAAACACGGACGTTATTGGCCTCCACATAACCCCCCACCCCCACCCGCCCCCCCTGTGACCAAAGAAACATACATGCTGGGGCCAACAAGACTTCTCTTGCTGAACGCGACAAAAACACGGACGTTATTAGCCCCCCACCCCACCCCCCCCCACCAAGCCCCACCCGCCCCCCTCGGACCAACATGAAAGAACGTTCTTAGCCCCCCCCTTGGACCAACAAGAACGTGCTGCTGCCAGCGAGCGTCAGACACGGACGTTATTGGCTCCCCCCCACCCCCCACCCTCCCCACCTGGGACCAACAAGAACGTGCTGGTGCCAACGCGACTTCCTTTGCTGCACGCGTCAATTACCAACGCTGTTAGCCCCCCACCCCACCCCTCGCACCCTGGGACAAACAAAAACATGCTGCTGCCAACGAGCGTCAAAATCGAATGTTATTAGCCCCCCACCCCACCCCCCACCCACCCGCCCCCCCATGGGACCAACCAGAGCGTACTGCTGCCAACGCGACTTCTCTTGCTCCACGCGCCAAACACGGACGTTCTTGCCCCCCCACCCCACCCGCCCCCCCAGGACCAACCAGAACGTACTGGTGCCAACGCGACTTCGCTTGCTCCACGCGCCAAACACGGACGTTCTTAGCCCCCCACCCCACCCCCCCACCCGCCCCCCCAGGACCAACCGGAACGTGCGTTTCGAGCCTCCAAGAGTGCGTTTTCGTCAAACACGGACGTTCTCAGCATGCTGGGGCCAACGAGAATTCTTTTGCTGCACGCGACAAAAACACGGACGTTACTAGCCCCCAACCCCACCCCCCCTCCAACCAAGCCCCACCCGCCCCCCCTGGAACTAACATGAAAAAAAAGGTTCTTAGTCCCCCACGTCAAACACGTCGAACACGGACTTTATAAGCCCGCCCCCCTGGAACCACCAAGAACGTGCTGCTGCCAGCGACACTTCTCTTGCTGCACGCGTCCAACACGAACGGTATTAGCCCCCCACCCCACACCCACCCTCCCCCCCTGGACCAACAACAACGTGCTGGTGCCAACGCGACTTCTCTTGCTGCATGCGTCAATTACCAACGTTCTTAGCCCCCCACCCCACCCCCCACCCACCCGCCCCCCCATGAGACCAACCAGAACGTACTGCTGCCAACGCGACTTCTCTTGCTCCACGCGCCAAACACGGACGTTCTTAGCCCCCAACCCCACCCCCCCACCCCCCACCCCCCCCAAGAACCAACCGGAACGTGCGTTTCGAGCCTCCAAGAATACGTTTTCCATGGAAGCAATGAAACTGCTTTTGCTGCAAGCGTCAAACCTGACGTTCTTAGCCCCGACCCCCCCCACCCCACTACAGCCAGGAAGCCAGCCCCAACCCGACCCCCCCATGCACCCCGCCCCCCCAGCCCCACCCCCCCCAGGACCAACCAAAACGTACTTTTCGAGACTCCAAAAGTGCGTTTTCGATGGTGCCGTTTTCAGCCCCCGAAGCATGCTCTGAAAACGCTTATCCGGAAACCAACGAAAACATGCTTTTCGAGACTCCAAAAGTGCATTTTCGATGGTCTGTCAGATGTTTCCTAAAACAGCTCAAAACGCACTTTTCGGCCAGCACTTGCCAACTGGGCAAGTGCACTTTCCTATGGTTTTTACAATGGATTCGGCACTTTGGCGCGTAAATGTCGTCAACTTCGGCTAACTTGCAAAGTGGACTTTCCTATGGTTTTTACAATGGATTCGACACTTTTCCATGCTTGTTGAAGCCATTTCCGAAAAAGACCGAAGTGCACGTTCCTATGGTTTTTACAATGGATTCGACACCCGTCTTTGCGCAAGCGACTGGGCAAATCTTTGCGCAAGCGACGCGAATTTCTTTGCGTAAGCGACGGTGCTGCCCTCTCTTTCGGTTTCGGTATCAGGCTGGCGAATGTAAGCATCGCTACTTCGGACAAGCCAACCCGAGGACACTGCACCTACTATGCAGCTCAGAAAGCCGAAAGCGAGCCGGACACTGTTTCTGCCGAAGCGTGAGTGTAGCTGACGACGAGCTGGGCCCCTGGCCCCTGGGCCGCCCTCCCGCGAGAGGGCCAAAGCTCGGAGCAGCTCCGAGGGCTTCAAAGGAGGTTTCTTGTTCCAGATCGGCAGCTCGAGTGCGCGGCTCTTCAGCAGAAACGGCCCATGTTGTGGAAGAGCAGAGCAGAGTGCGACAGCCGGCATGCCGGTACTTGTAGATTTGCAGACGGCTCTTTCTGGGGCTTTGGCAGCATCTCAACATCCGGCAGCGCAGGTATGGGCATGGATGCTGTTGCTCAAGATCCAGATCTTCCAGGTGGCAGTGTCAGCCTTACATGACAGCGGATATGGGAGGATGCGGGTGTGGATGTCGATGTCAGTCCAGTATGCCAGTCTCTGCAGCAGTTCATGCATGTCGGAGAAGCGGTTTTGATGCCTGCGGCTTGTCGCAGGAGCCTTGTAATCCTGCAAAGAAGTCCGACATAGAATCGACAAGCCGCAGGCGAACATTAGACCAACATGGTAGACATTATGTGACATGATGCTTGGTACCACAACAAGACTCCCTGTATGTGCACATGTTCGGGCGTTGCAGTTAGCACGTCAACCTTTCCGGCTGGGATGTGCTTATGACCCAGGGCAAACAGTCTTTGCAAGCTGCTTTCAATTTCGGTTGGTTGCTGGGTTCCGGTCTGAAAAGCGAGAAGCAACTGAGGATACACTTCCGAACCTGACACCGGACGTCATTAGCGACCCAGCCAGCAGCTGAGTCAGATGTCTGTGCAAGTGCTGGGCCCGTGCAGTGGTAGATCTGCTGCTGTCGCTGTCAGGAGATGTTCTATCCAATTGGTACGCTGGTGATGGGCTTGGACAGAGAACCGGAGCATCTCACAACTTCCATCGTTCTTTCTTTCAAGGTTCCCAACATGGAGCTGGTGATGGGGTTGCAGGCCCTGCTAGGACTTGTCAGCACCTTAGCAATCACCGAGGGCCATCGCGCCCACGACATGATGACACTTATTGCGAATCAGTCGAATCTCGAAGTGCTTGGCAGCTTGCGCACGCCAGATCACTTGGCTTCGCGTCCTCAAGTACTTGACGCTCTCGCGCACGCCAGGGCCTAAGACACTGCGGCATTACTGGGTCACATGAGCACATGGCATAAAAGTGTCGCACACTTCTTCCGATCTGCCAAATTGCTTTCAGGTTCTTGCCTTTTGTGCGAGTCTTCGAGCGCTGTTTCATAGCATGGCTCTCATTTCCGACTTGTCTACACTGCATTCTACTGTGGCTGGCAAAGTGTCACGGTGGAGTGCCTGATCCGTATCGAAGGCCTTGATCAAGTATTCAGCGCTGCTGTCCGTAGCACTCTTTGGGTTTGCGGCCTGTGGCTTAGACGTGTGAGATCGTGTGAGACCCACAAAGCTGTTGCGCAGTTCTCGCTAACTCGAGGTGGCTATTTACATCGGCTTCGGAACTGAGGTGCTGGAAGAGTAGCGCATCAAGAAAGTTCCAGCTGCGCTGTCTTTTCGACCGATAGTGTCAGTCATCGAAGGCTGGCATTTACAACAGCATCTGGAGCACTTTCGCCGAGAACCCAGCAGACTCTGCAGAGCAGACGCCAAGCCTAAATGCTGGCCGGGTTGGGATTCGTTGATGGTGTTGCGATGGTGTCTTGTGAGGTTGCAGTTGCCGTGGCGCCAGCGGGTGGTGTCGACTTGGGCCCGGTGACGGTCGCTTCCTCAGCGTGTGCGCGACAGGCTGAAAGCTTCAGAGAGGCCGCTCTTCTGAACTGATGCCTGCTTGCCAGGACAAAAACAACAGCTTGGACGGAAGCTCAAGTCTGGTTGTGATACCATGAGCTGGATCACAGTGTTGCAAGTCTGAATGCACAGATTTCCCTTTCCGAATTGATGTCGACTTGCCCAGGTCGCTCCAATCATCTTGTTCTCTTACATCATTGTCGCTGCACGGTCGCATTTTTTGACAGGTTCTGTTTGCGATCATGTATTGCCGCTGGTTGAACTTGCAGAGTAGCAGAAATGCATGTGTACAATCATATGAAAAACTGTCAGCACGGTGCGCTTCTTTGGATCCCGCCACAGGTTGTCCTTTTGGTGCTGACGACGTTCAACGCTATCCAGATCGACTCGTACAGTGTGACCACGCGGACGCCTCAGACCACCCTCCAACACAGTATTGTTTTCTTATCTTTCCCTGCATGCAGCACGTGGTACTTCTGGTTGCAGCAGCGGGAGGAGGAGAAACAGTTGCAGTAGTGGTAGCAATAGTAGTAATAGGAGTAGGTAGTAGCAGAAATGGTAAACTAGTACCAGAAGAAGTAGTAGTAGTAGCAGTAGTAGTAGCAGTAGTAGTAGTAGTAGTAGTAGTAGTAGCAGCAGCAGCAGTAGTAGTAGTAGTAGTAGTGGTAGTGGTAGTGGTAGAAGTAGTAGTAACCCAGTCGTCTGTTATGACTCATTAAATACACACTAGCAGCAAAGCAGTTTTCGGAACAAGCTATCCCCGCCTTAGAAAACTACTTGGTGAAGGGCGTTCCCAAACTTCACGTTCGAAATGAAAACATAACTTCAAGAATACAGCCACGTAACTCGTCGCCTTGATACATAGGTCGGGCATACAGTCCGCACAGCACAATACCGTGCATCCGACATGAGGTACGAGCTGTCGACTCTAAAGCGGCATAAAGCGCCTGGTGCGCCACTTGGGTATTGTTCCGAGTGCGCTGCTCCGCTGATTTGTGCTAGAAGTTTCTGTTCCGTCTGGGGACGCAGGTGCTGGCGGCGACCCGACCATCATATTTATCTGGACTTACTTGAACGCCTTAAAGGGTGTGAAGCTGGTCGGGAAGGCGCCTCATAATGTCCTGTCCACGAGTCTCCAGACCAGTCCAGACCATGTTCGAACGTTACCACTTCGATGTTGATTGGTTTATTTGGTTTCGTAGCGGACCACTTCCGTGGCTCGCAGCGGGAAGTGCATGACAGCTCATGCGTAAGTAGACATGGTCTGGAGGCATTCCCACTGATGGTTCCCGCCTCCCTTGCTCGACCATGCGAAAGCAGCAGACATTTCAACATACCAACAACTCAAAGCTAGCCAACAAACTCTGTTTACGGTTGCACGCTAATGCTGCCGGGCGTCCTACGCGATGGGGTGCAACTTCACGTCTTGTACTGGGAGGTCCACCGTGAAAAAAGTAGCAGGATGAAGTTGCTGACAGCATTTCCTGACGGTCCTGATCAGGGCGACTGCAAAGAAACGTATTTCTTCGAGCCCGAGGACCTACTCAAAGAAACCAAGCACAAAGACGGACCTGGTCGCTGCTTCTGTTGTGGCCATGTCGCAGAAACTTGGAGGCCTGGCACACGTTTGTAGGCAGAGAGCAATTTTGCTGCATGCTTTTTCCATTTTTCGGACAGACGTCAGGCAGAGGCTGGACAACATGCAGAGTACCTTACGAATGTGCTTGGATCCACACTCCTCGATGTTTCGGCAGGACCCGTGTTGCGAAACCTCCTGTTAAGTCGGTATGGCGTCGGGAGGAACGCTTCGGCCAGCAGATGCTGGCGCACCTGTTCTGAGCAGGATGTGGCAAGCTTCCATTGCCTGTCGCCCAAGATGCGTATGTCTTACAGCCTCAGGCCGGACCAGGGAGACTGCTGCGTGATGAGTCCCTCCCCGACGTCCGTTTCGAGTCGAACCTCTTGCTAGCTGCAGGCAGTTCTACACATACCTCCGGGCCATTGGTGCCGCGGCCACGGTCACGGAGAACGATGTCCTGGGCACTGCGATGGCGGTTGAAAGGGCGGAGTTAAACGCGTCTGCCTGCGGGATAGAGGTCCAGAACTGGAAGCTTGATCTGGAGGGGCAAAGCTGCTTTCTCATCTAAAGAAAGACCTGTAGGGGCCTAGCGACCTAGTTGTAAGGCGAAAGGAGTTGGGAAAAACCAAGCAGTTTCAAGATCGCTGCCAAGGAACGGGGTGCAAGCCAGCGACCCAAGGCCGCACGAGCAGTGGCTGCAGAACAAGGCTGGGCAACCCTCCAGGGCTAGGGCTGGAGCGGGTCTTGAAAGGATAAAGCAATGCCACAATGCTTCAAATTGCTTCAACATGTGACTGTTGCACTTGATATCAGCATCAGAAGCAATGTGCGGATGTCTGTGCCAGTGCCAGCACAAGCGCAAGCATCAATACAATCTTTGGTGACGACCACGCGACGAAGACGACGGCGGGACGAAGACGAAGACGACGAAAGCGGCAGAGGAAGAGGAGGAAGACTGGTTTGTGTGGTTTTCTTGTAGCTCGCGTTCTGCGGCAGTTCCAACTTGTTAAACCATGGTCTCGCAACAGGTTCAGGACATGAATGAAGCTGCGAAGAGCAGGGGTGGCAGCAGCATAGGACCGAATGAAAGCTGCCAAGCTGCAATGTGCCACGCATGCTCGTGACTTTGGAAGTCCTCCCGCCGCAGGACTCCTTTTGGACAAGGATGGCTGCGAGGTGTCTTCCTTCGGCACCAGCCTGCCCATGTTTGCTGTGCCGCCTGAGCCAATCCGGGAGGTGCTCATCCTTTTGGGTGGGCCCCGGGGCATCGAATCGGAAGAGCTAGTGCGGCTCATGGCTATCTTCTCTGGTGCGGGGACGTGGACGGGGCCCGGCTTCACGCAGGGGTTGATGAAAATCCGCCTTCCGGGCGGGCTGCACCATTCTTGCGTGGCTCTCAATGACCTCCTGAGCTTTCACGACAAAGGTGCGGCGAGGAATGCTCTGGTGGTTTGGACTTCAGGGTACATGAATTCAGGGCAATGTAGGGTGTGGCTTTTTGCCTGGCATCGTATGTGCTGCATTGGAGGCTATTTGATTCCTGTTGTGGAAGACTACAAGGGTCTTGGCGAAGCCCGTCATCGGGTAAAAAGTGCTGCCATGAACTCGGCCATCACAGCCTGGGCGACTTCCAGCCTTCCCGCGAAGAGCAAGTGTGAGGCTTGTATGCAACACCCTGGAGTGTGCACAAAGAGCAGAGTAAGGAAAGCTTTGTATAAGTTTCACGACTGCAAGCCCTCGAAGGGTTGCTCGTCCTTTTGCAATGCTCGTGAGGCTTTGCAGCGCTTCGCGTGGAAAGTGCAGCACTCATGCCTGGATCGTGCTGACAGCTCTTCGAATCAGCGTTGGGCGGTTGTGGCAGGGGATGAGGAGCCAGCCACTCCGAACGAAGTCTCGAGTTACCTCGATAAACTGCAGGCTACTGGCCAGTTCCCTAGGGACACGCCGTGGCGGTCCCAATGGCGTCTTACGATGTGCTTGGAAGCTATCGAGCCAGCTCGGGCTTTGAAGGTTCTTCGAGAGTGCCACCGGCGAAGCCTTAAAGCTGCGCGATGTGGCGCGGAGTTCCATCCCTGGGAGGAGCTGGCTTTTGATCTGGACGAGGCTCTCAGGAGTGCCCCCAGCAAGAAAGACCGTTGCCCCAGGGACGTCCGATCGGCACTGCTCAAGGCAAGAGCGGAGATCGAGGTTGCGGAGGAGGAGGAGGACCTTTTCCCTGACGCGGACATGATGCTGCTGCTAGGCGAACTGCCTTGTGAGCAAGCCGCGCAGCTCTTACAAAACTGTTGCAGCAATCCGCAAGAGTCAATGCTCTACCTGAGCCATTCCATTGCCAATGCAATCATGCGCCATCAGGGCGGCTTGCATCTTTGTGGCAGAAGGGCGAGACGAGATAAGGTTGCTTCTTGTTGATTTGACTTGGTCCAGTCCTGTCTTGACGCAGCCCAGGGAAGCTGATTTGCAGCTGCGATTAGCCATCAAGGCTTTCTTGAACAGTGCCGAGTACGAAGGGAGGGACGAAGAGGCTTGGCTGCAGAAGGAATTCTGAAGCCATGTGTAGGCACAAGAAGGCCCTCGAGGTAGGAGAGGTATATCCTCAGCATGACTTGCTAGTTGTTGCTGGAGGAGGCATCCTTGGTAAGGATTGAGGTGCAGGGGCTTCCTGCCAGAGCGATTTGTTTCCGGTTGATGCATGAAACGGTCCTACTGTATGTTAGCAAGTGAAACGCGATGAATCCCAGGAGGCTTACGAGAAACTGAAGCAGACTTGCCACAAGCCCCGGCGGCAGCGCTGGTTTCAGCCACCAGAGCAGCTGGCATTGGGAGACGTGCCACGCACCGTCCCTGAACCGCTGCCGGTGGGCGAGCTACCAGGCGAGGTCGACGGCAGACCTAGGACTCCTATATAGGCCTAGGCCCAGGACTTTCTTGCAGAGTGCCGAGAGTGCCGCCAGGGTTGGGTAGATCAGTGTTTGGAGTGCTTTGCCCTCTTTCGCCCTTGCAGGCGGGTCAGACGCAGAAACGAAGCCACCCAAAGTTATCAGGCCACCTTTCCGAGCCAAGGCACCAGCTGCAGCCAAAGCGGGAGCAAAGGCAGCAGCCAAGGCCACTTCCAAGGCAACGGCCAAGGCGGCGGCCAAGTCATTTGCTACAGCACAGGCCAAGACACTGGCCAAGGCACAAGCCAAGACGCAGGCCAAAGCGCAGGCGAAGACGCAAGCGAAAACGCCCTTGAAGCTGGCAAAGGCCCAGCCGAAAGCCTCTGCCAAAGCGGAGACGAAGAGGAAGCTGCCACTTCCCAAGAAGCTACAGCAGCCACCTCCCCCGAAGCGATCCATCTGGCTCCCTAGGCTGCAGAAGGAGGGGAGAGAAGGGAGAGAAGTAAAGATCGTCGTCGTCGTGCCGGCAAATGCACTTGCAATTTGCCATCTGTTCAGTCTGTCGTCTCTTATGGCCATGGAGCTTTTTTGCGGCTTCCAAACCCAACACATGCTGTTGCTGAAACACATTCTATCTCTTTGTCACCGTGCTCTCCGCCGCAGCGACAGGGATGGAGTACAGCACGAGCAGACAACGTTTTGGGCAGGGCTGCCAATGCAAGAAGAACAAGAAGAAAACATGCGAGATTTTGCAACCATCGTACCGTAAGCCTGTGAGACGGACCGTTCGATAGCTAGCAAAGCCTGCCACGACGAAGCAGGGTTCTAGACCCACTGCTTTAGGATTCGGTCATTTCAATGAAGACAACAACCCAGGTTCGAAGATCAGCTCTGATGCAGAGGGCGCATGGCTTGACAAAAAGTTGCATTTGCGTCGCTGCTTGATTCAGACCGCGGCTTCGAGCTGCCGGCTGCGAGTGCTTGCGACGGGGATGCAGTCCTGTCCTGAAACACCTGTGAGTCGATGGGAGCTTGCTCCAGGAGAGGAACGAAGACATTGGAGGACCAGAGGACCAGGCAGCCTGCTGTCAACACGACGTGACACAGTTTGCGAAACCATGTCATGCCAAGGCCCGGTAAAGTAGCAAGTGTGGGGCTCTTTCGAAGGGTCTGGACGGGAGTAGGCAAGCCACTTGGTCACACCTGCGGATGTCTCATCACTGAGCTGCGAGCTGCTGTTGCTGCCAGATCATTGCGCTGAGCTCTTTGCCCGAGCCGGTAGCCACGCGGTATTATCGAATGAAGAGGCAGGTGGCAGCTTGTGCCAAGTAGAGCGGCAGTTTGCGTTTGGGAGGATTTCACCCTCCCGATTTGTATCAGGAAGATGGAGAAAATTCGGGACGCAGCGCTGGACAGGCTAGAGGACGAAGACTGCCCGTTGGCTGTTTCCACAAGTACGCCGACGAGTGTTTAGCTGCTGAGTAGCAGCGTCTTGCAGGACTTGAGGCGCCAGAAGCTGATCGAAGCAGGGATTGGCCTAGAGCACGTTCCTCGGGCTCAGCTCACGGAAAACTCGGCTGCGATGACATGCCTGACAAACAGTCGCTGAGAGATTTGGCCAGCCTTTGCCAGACTACGGGCGCCAAGTGGATTTCCGAAGCGGGAGCATGAGCAGAGCCGGTTCGGGGACATTCGGGGACACACTTTTCACTCAGGTCGCGAGTGCACCAGTTTAGGGTTTAGAGTTTATGGCGCAGAGCCTGGGTTCAAAAAGGATTTAGGATTGCTTTCGCGTTAGGCATGGCCTTTGTGTGAGGCAGATCGAGAACACCCGCCGCAGTGGACGAAGATCGTGTGGGCCTTCGACGGACTGATGCTGTCATTATCGTTATTGCTTTGTATGTTGTTATTATTACTACTTGAGTCCCAGCGGGCGGCCGTGGGTTTTAATGGCAGCTGCTGTTGTCAATGAGCGGAACTGTTCTTCCTGCCGCTGATGCTACTAGTAGTATCATTACTGTTGTTATTGTTGTTTTTTGTTGGGAGTGGTCGTTGTCGTGGTCGTCGCAGCTGCAGATGTGATTTGTGGTAGTGTTGTGGCATCTGGCCCGATGGTTAGGTCACAGTTGGCGTTGGCTGATGGCGTCAGCCTGGCGCATTTGCCGATGCATGTGCCAGAGCTTGTGTTTGGATGCATCGCAGTGCAACCTTGCACGTGGGTTGCCTTGACCCACTACCCGAGCAGGAGGACGATGTACCGCACCAAGATGACGAGGACGTAGATTCTGAAACTGTTGCTTGAAGTTCCGAGTGACTTGGTTTACGACCATGGCCAGACCACGCTGTACGATCGTCTTGTAGAAGATGTGTGGTGCTTCGCCAGGACGACAGGATTCCGACGTCCTCGGAAATGGTGTCACCCCCAGCCACGCAGCCAGCAGGTGAGTTGGTGAAAGCAGCTCGGAGATGCAACTGCTCTCCTGCCGTTCGTATCGGGAACCGCACGTCCCCCAGGCCACCATCATCGTGAATCGGGTGCACCCTGCGGAGCTTCGGGCCGTAGCAGCGTCAAATTCACGCATGGATCGCAGCAACGGTCTGGTGACTCTGGTGGCTGCAGCAGTTCTCGCAACTCCAGCCTGTTCGAGGGTGTTGGCGTGTTCCGGCGCGACAGGTGCAGCTTCAGCGAATGTTGGACGAAGATCCGAGGCTTGCAGAAATCTGCTCGTCGCCGGCTTCTTGGAACAAGCCGAAAGTGTTACTGGTCAAGCCGAGTACATGTTCCGTGTGCCCAGGGACAAAGCAGTTGATGTCGTTCGACGGTTTCGGGTGGACCAAACAGGACGCGATGCCCATGTCGGCAATGGCTGTTAGTTCCTTTAGGCTGGTGAGGTGCAGTGAGGCTCGGTTGGGTCCCGATGGTCAAGAAAACGCGCCGCAGGAGACGATCCCTTCGAAGTGGTCGCCCGGCTCCAGGCCCTTGGTTTTTTTGAGCTGCGGGGCGAGCGCTTCTTTGGAGACGCCTGCCCGCACCAGGCTTCAGTGGCCGAGAAGCTCAACGCCATAGAAAGTCACACGCTCAGACAAGCAGACTGCGTGTGAAGTCTTGTCGTTGTTTCGAGAGCGTGATAAGCTCTGATGAAGCCCTCCGCTGTCCTGAAGGTATCGCCACTGACCTTGCCTTCGACGAAGTTGAGACTCTGCGGGTCATGTCACAGGCATTCTTACAGATTTTGTTCGACATGGCTACAGGGTGCCGTTTTCGGCAGGAGCTGCACAGCGCCCTTACCGAGTCGCAGAAGGCGCGCAGATCTTGTGCCAACCTCTCGCAGATAAGGAGGATTACTTGCGTCGCTCCGGTGCGACGGGCAGCAAATGCAAGCAATGTGGAAGGATTGCAGGTGCCAGTGTTGAGGACGGATTGTTTTCCGGCTCCAGGAATGGCGTGCAGAGCTGCTATCAGTCCTGCAGCTGGTGGGGTCGCCCAGTTGATGCAGTAGTTGTTGCAGTTTCCCGCATGCTTTTTTGGCTCCTGGCTTCTTGACATTGGAAGATCATAGGGGCATGGCAGGCATCACTGCTGTCGAACGCCTTGATAGATCTGACCAAGAAGATCGAGCAGGCTGACCTGACCCTTCCCCCATCCGACAGAGCCAGAAACTGGGAAGAGAGAGCCAGCAGCCGACAGTCCTTGGCAGGTCCAACTAAACCACACCGAGCTGGCGATTCGGGACCGGCTGCGTCGATTCGTGTTGCCGTCTCAGAAGACCCTCAGTCTACACTGCCAATGCAACAAGGCGGCCCCTTTGACCATTGGAAAGAAATGAGGGATGGGAATTGCCGTTTCACACATGTCTCACACAGCGCATGGACATCGTCCCTGCGAGCGACCCGACCCTTGTGCACAACATGGTTACGCAGAGTACGCATAGTAGGAGCAGCCTCTGGGCTGGCACACGTGTCGCCAAAAGGATGCTTGATTCTGGAATGCCAGATCTGCATGTCATGACTCAGGCTGCATGGCAGCTCTTTCACGCAGTTCCTTTGCAAGTGCACTGAATAAAAAAGCTGCGCCATCTCGCCACTTATGTGAGTTGTTCCCACACCCCGTGTTGGGTTGTTTGTCCGCCTCCCTGCGGCCAACTCGTCGCAACGGCTTCCGCAGGAGCTTTGAGGTTTTAGGGTTTAGGATCGGGAGTCCGCCTGCTGCCTGGTTTCCCTTTTGATGTCGGCCCCTTCAGGGGGACTTGGCACCTCGAATCGCAGCAGGCGCAGATTCGGACCGCGGCTACGATGGCATACCATGGCGTCCCGCGAAACGGCCCAGCATGTCAGACCAAGATGCTGGCAGGTACTCGCGGTGATGGTCCTGCAGGGTTCCGCGAAGGCCGCTTGACAGCTTTGATCGTTGCTGACCCCAGTATGCTCCCGTTCCGCGTGGAACGCTCCTGTCCGGTCTTCCTGTGTAAGTGTGGTGCCCTTGGAGGTACTGTGCCCGCTGTGACTTCGTGGCCTGTGCTCAGCCCTTGGCTGACTGGGCTTCGAAATGAACACTTGGCGAGTGCGGACTAGTAGCTTCAGTCTGTCGTGGATGCGATGCCGTCTAGTTAGTGCTCCGCATCTCAGGCTGCTGCAGGCCCGCAGGCATGCTGCAAGACGCAAGGAGCATGAGCCCGGCACCGGAGACGATCGGGTCAGAGGATTCGACGCAGGAGGCCGAGAGCGTGAGCTGCGACACCCTGAAGACCTGAAGATGGTCCTGTCCACAGGATGGAGCTTCCACCACCGAGTTAGGTTGTTTGGTGAGCGAGGGGCCGGCGTGGGGCTGAGCGGGATCGCCTTTTGTGAGCTTGCCTGGTGCCTCGGATGTGCCGAGACTCCGGAGACGCGCGCTGTGCCCCGCCACCGCTGCAGCTGTCGGGTGCCTCCTGGGACAGCACCGCCGCCGAAAGCATGAGCAATCTGAGCTGCAGGAGGCCGTGGGTGTGACGCTTCCTGCCATCCTGGCAACTCTGCTCTTCCTACCCTTCATAGTTGGAAGTGCAGTAGGCCGGGGTCTTGATTTGCCCGGTGGGGCATTCCCGCGTGCCTCCCTCATATCTTGGAGGTGCTCATGGCCTTCTTGGGGCACGTGGAAGTGGACCAATGTGCCTTTTGGCGCTTGTGTGGCTTGGAATCGGCAGAAGTGGGGACGAAAGACAATGGCGAAGCTTGGCTTCATTTGGCATGGAGCTTGACTGCAGGTGGGCTTCTGTGGCATCGCTGTACCCTGCTTGGGCCTGGATGACGGGCAAGCGGGCTCTTGCAAGTCTGCTGCTTCTGGGATGCTCGACGGAAGACGGAGGGCTTTCTCGGTGTGACCGGGGATTTCACGGATGCGCATGTAGCACAAGCCCAGGGGCCCTCCTTTGCTGTGGGATGCTCAGAGTTGCCGTCTCCAGCGCAAGGGAGAAGTGGGGAATAGTTGAGATTATTTTCATTTGTTTCCCTTCTCACTTGCCTGGTAAGGCTTCGTGCTGCTGAGCCTGCCGGCCCTGCTGGCATTGCACTCCTCCAAGCATTTGGCAGATGAGGCTCGTGATGCGGCAGAGAGAGATCCGAGTTTTATGTGCAACTTGGGCTGTTGAGAGTTGTTTTGTTTTTTCTCTCTTCCTTCTCTCCCTCTCTCTTTCCCTCTCTCTGTCTCTCTCTGTCCCTCTCTCCCGCTCCCTTGCTCCTTGTCCCCCTCACTTCGCTATAGGGGCGCGGAGCATGAGCACCGCACGGGCGCGCCGCACCCCATCTCCGATTCTCAGAGGGTGGGCTCGGCCGGACAACTCTGAGTTCTACCAACCAGCCGGAAACAAAGCAAGTAAATCCGAAGTCCCTCGGGCCAACGGTAGCTGCCTGATGGAAAGTGGCCGCGTCAAAAGAATGTTGTCGTCAAGGATTTGTGAAAATCCTTCTTGCAGCAAATTAATCGATAAAGGTTGGGTGTTCCTCAATAAACAGTAGACATAATTGCTCTTGGATCCCTTCCCAGTCTCTCTGTCTAATTCGCTGTGTCTACGAATATGTCACTTTGATCAGATGTGTATTTCTAGCCTGCTTTTTTGTGCCCTTGCATCGCGAGACTCTTGATGATGGCACGGCAGACAGAGAGAGCAAGCAAGCAAGAGATAGTGCCCTCAAGCCTGGGGAAAGCAAGAGAGAGAGAGAGAGAGAGATAGAGACCTCTGAACGATGTTTCGGAGGGGAAGCAGACCATCCGCGAACTGCGGGTGTGCGGTGCCCACGGGGGGATGGCCCAGGACGCTGGCCTGAACCCCAAGCCCGGTAGAGCGAGAGAGAGAGAGATAGAGACGGGAGGGGCACCCTGGACGCTGGTGCTTCCCTCACACTAGGGAGAAAGAGAGAGAGACACAAGCCTGGGGAAAGAAAGAGACATGTGGGGTGCAGGGCGGCACGCTCCCTGTGCCTATTACACTGGAGAGAGAGAGAGAGAGAGAGAGAGAGAGAGAGAGAGAATAGCCATTTTGGCTCAAGTCTCGGGAAATGGGGACCCGCCCCCCGTGCCCCCCGGGGCTTGAGCCCATGCCGAAGCCGTTGCCAGACAAAGTGAATCCCCTCCTTCTTATCCTCGCGAACTTTGCTCCGTCATGGGGGGCACACGGAGTGACGGCAAGATGGACAAGGCAAAAACACCACGTGCTCTCGAGCGACGACAGCGGAAACCTGTGACCAAACTGAAGGGAAGACCGTGGAAAGCTGTGACCAAACTAGAGGGAGATGTCGCCTGAGTGAAGAAGCGAATGTCGGCAAATCGCAGAACTGTGATTGTAATTCGATGCAAGTACATGCCTTGGAGCGGTGTCGTGCACGGGCGCGCTCACGTTCCTGCGTTGTGGGAAACCCCTGCTATAACGTGGGGGCGGACTGCTTCGCGGGGACGGGGGTTTGCGTAGCCGGCCCACCACCGGGGCGACCAAGAAAGAAAACGTCGGCGGTCCTGAGGGTGACCTCAGGCTGTTTTGAAACAGGGGCGGCAAATCAATGCATGTTCTTGAGTGCCACCGGAAAAACCGGTTGCTTTTGAAGGAGAGGTCGAACTGAAAGCGGGGGACACGCAGCTTTCTTTGCAAAAACCTCGAGACGTACTGAACAACGTGACGGCGAAAGTAGCTTTAACAGTGTCACGCTGTTAGTCAAGTTGAGGCCCTGACCTGCCTTCTAACATAGAAGCGAAAGTTTCTTCCCTAATGAGACGTCGGGAGAGTTGAGATCTCATGTAAGCCGGAGTACAGATGAGGGGCGTTGGGGGAAATTAGTTTTTCAGGGTATTGGGGGATATTACGGTTCACAAAACGCTGTCCTCACCCGGCTAAACGTGTCACACCACAGACCGCGGACCCGGTGCGCACGCGTGCGCGGGAGGGTTCGTGCTCCTCCTTGTCCGAGTGCAAGCAAGAGAGAGAGAGAGAGAGCAAGAGAGAGAGAGAGAGAGTGTCAGCAAGCAAGCAAGCAAGAGAGAGAGAGTGGAGGGCAGAGCAAAGCAAAGCAAAGAGCGCTCAGATGTGTGCGTTGTGAGTGCTGCAGTTGACGTGAGCTGCTTCTCGGTGTGTATGCCATCTTGCCACAATTTTGCCACCAGTCATTGAACACATCTCCGTAGATTGCAGTCACAGCAAAGCACAGCCCACACAAAGGCTGCAGGCTCCCACTTACACTGTCCGCTTGCAAACCAGAGGCAGTGCTAGGGCAGAGCTGACCCGCTTAGATTACGCAGCACGCAGCAAGCTTCGACCGTCACGTGTTCGCCATGACGCACCAGCGATCCGGCATGGTAGATGGGGAAGAACACATCGAGTTCATGGACACCCAGCATCTTGGCATGTGAGCTTTCGAGCTGAAGCTTACAGAGGAAAGCCATGGAAAGCCCCCTGGACTTCTGGAGGTTCGTCACGGGGCACATCCAACGAACCTATCGTTTCTACATGTTCAGAACCGATGACGGCTCCTCGGCTATGACTTAGACTTAGCTTCGTTCTGGACCCCTGTCGCCAGTGTGACGTCTTGTGCAGGGAAGCCGCACAAGACCATGTGGGTGACCGACTTGGACTATGTCAAGAAAGAGCGCGATCGCTGCTTGGAGCTCCTGAAAAAGAAAAGCCAAAAGAGACAGCAAGAGACAGCGTGCCCGGAATGCACGAAGTGTACTGGTACCATATGCGCAAGTCTTGAAGAGTCTGTGTGGCTCATTTTCCGAGGGGCAAATGCAAGACTCCAAGCTCTGTGTTCCATCCCAGAGTCGGCGAGGTGCCGCACGGCCGGAACCTCAGATGCCAGCCGTGCTTCCCTGAAATCGCAATATTCAAGCTGCCTACCCGGACCCTGCCCGCGCCGTGCGCGTCCAGCCACACCTCCTCAAAAGCTGCGCAAGAGCAACGATCAGGATTGGTGTTGTCGTCCTCTCGGTACTTGTCCAACTGAGACCGGGATGCAGCATTCTGTCGATTGCCGAATGACCTGACCAATCGTGTAATTCGTAGGATGACCTGCTCAGGCCCCTCATTCTGCGATTCGTTTTGCACAGACGGAACCCTAAATTCCTTAAATCGAAAGTCGTAAACAAAAAACATAGATTCATTGATTGAGCAGTGGACTTGCCTCTGGTGGCTGTTCGGGCCCTGTCTGCAAAGCAGTCGGTTTCGGGCCGTTTATTAAGTATCTCGCCTTCGCCGTAGCCGCAGCCTTACCAGGAGGCTTGCCCTGGACCATCATCACTCCGGAACGGGAACGCGTTTGTATGGTCTGATTGACCTGCAGTTGCGTTGAATGATCATACAGAATCATACAACACTAACACCAAAGTTGCTCTTACTCTTGCGTGCTTGAGAAATGGCAGCAGGACGATTACCAGGACACCTTCGCACAACTGCAGAGCATCCGGAGGGCTCAGTGGCATCCAGCATCTATTGAGAACTAGCCCCTAGCTTCTGCACGAGCGTCTGAGACGTTTCAGAGCATCTCAAGGACGACGCTCATGCTTTAATTACCCATTACTTCAGCCGATCCGCATGCCGTTTGATTCGCCTGCAGGGACAACCTTGGTGTCCTTCCTCGTAGGTCCACCTCAAGGGTATCTCGATCCTTTTCATATGTTCGTTTCAAGTTCTCGAAAATCTCAGCGGATGTGGGTCGACCGCACATGCAAGCAGGTTTTCCCAGAATTATCTGCCCGGTTTGCATTGTGCCGAGAAACAGCACCGTTGCAGGCTGTCAGAGGAAAAAGGCGAGTTCACGCGAATGATGTGTATGTTCCAGCTTACTTTCTTTGCCACAACTTCTCGGCAGGTGGACAGACTGTTTCCCGCAAGTGTGAAAGCCGCGCGAGACAATCCCTTCGGCTTTGGTTCGTGGTTGATTGGACCGCTGGCTGCCGAGGACAGGCCGTCAAAGGAGTGCACGCGATTGCACGTGTTCCTTTCATGCCGACCCCCCGCATCCCTAGGCCCCAAGCCCCAGCCCTGTATTGAAGGTTGTTATTAGTGTAAAGATTTGCTGCTCCTTCCTGCAGGTCGGCAGCTGCAAGCTTCGGCCCTTACACGTTTCCATACCGTTCAAAAGCATTTCCCCACCGCCCCTTGGCTGCAGAGCGCAAGTCTTTGCGGACGAATCCATCCAGGTTTGATCTCTCATCTGGTCGAGCTGCGGAATGTACCGGTGTATAGAGCAAGAACATATTTCGGACAGGATTTCGGACATGTGAGGCCGCACTGCTCCTCGCAGCCTTTTGTGCGAAGATGTGGTTCTGCTGGGCCGTTGTTCCTGGACGTCTACCTGCCCGAGTTGCGAGGTGGAGCCTTGGCTGGGAGACTCTTGGAATGCTACCGTGCATGGACTTCTCTTCCACCAGTAGCATCAGCGAGATGTTTGAAGAATCCCATCAGCAGGTGCACCTGGCGAATTGAGCCGGCCTCTGTTGTTCTTCGTCCACGGCGGGTGGTGGTGGAGCGGAGACCGAACCTGGCATCATGCTTGCTTCTTTGAGTATTTTCTGAATCGACGCTTGCCTCTCAATACAGAGCGAGGAACGCGGATCAGTGCCAGATGACTAGATGCAGAAGCAGCACCTGCTTAGGCTAACATGTTTGCATCATCGAGGTGGCTTCGTGCTCGTGTCGGTGGGGTACCGTCTTACCCGGGACGGCTACGTTGGGACAGACCTCGTGGAATCTTGTCAGCAGTAGTGCCTTGATTTGCTAAGCTTGCATTCAGGATGCACTCAGCGGCGTTTTGCCCAGGAAGATGTTGTTGATGGCTTCATGTATGTGATCGAACATGCTGAAGAGCTGGGCATTGACAAGCGCAGTGCCTTGACAACAGATGCAGGTTGTTGGATGTGTCAGGCCACGTTGACAGACGGCATCAAGACCCTGGCCGCCAGGAGTGATTTTGCAGGGCGAATCTGCTGGTGGCCATCTGGCGGTTTTGGCATCCTTGTTGGTACCATCCGGGCTCGTGCCGTGGGCTCAAGGCTCGAGGTGTGATGTGCACACAAGAGAGACCTGAGAACCAGAGGCGCGGTGTCGTGGACCTCTGGGGCATCCAGGAGCTTCGCCAAGGTGCCCTAGGTAGGATTCGCGCCGCCGACGCTTTGACATTGCACAGCAAGAACTCGAAGCCGATTCAGGCTACAGCTCTCATGTCCGTGACAACTGGCCCGAAGCATACACCCTCTTCTGTGGGGGAAATCCTGTGGCGAAGCCTGGTCGCCTGGCAGAGATCGAAAGCTCAGTGTATGCCCAGCTTCTGGCGCAAAGACGAAGCTCTTTCCGCCGAGTCCGTCTTTTGCATAGGTTTGCCCATGGTTCTCACTGTTCCCAGGCTGCTTTCACAACATGTCGACGACAACCCACGTGGCGGAGCAGCTTGGGCCTTGGCAGCGATCGGGGTGTCTTCGCAGCTCAGCATCGGTTGCTACGAGGTCTCCGCCGATGCTGTTGCTCCATGGAACAGCCGCTGCTGGGACATGTTTGTCCCCTTTGTTGTCGGTATGCTTCCGTGGGAGTGGCGCATTCTGTGCACGAGTTTAGTTGAGGACACGGTAGTGTCCTTCGACCAGTCCGTGGCTTTGGCGGGGGCTCTGCACAACTTCCAGGTGCCCAATTTGCTGGTCCCAGCCCCTCAGTCGCTGGGCGTCGGCAAGTTTATCCCGTCACACACATGTTGCAAACCGTCAAACACTCCGACACCCGAGGCAAGTGCATGGTTGCTGGGGCGTTCCGAGTGGAATTTGCATCCAGTGGCTTTTGTTACTCGGCGATCCTTTCCTGATTGCTGGGATTGGCGGAGTTTCGCGGGTGTGGGTGTACAGCTAAGATGCAGGTTCCAGTAGCTGGCACGAACTTCTTCGCTGCAGTTGAGGTTCGTTTCCGAGCGTTTCTTTGCATGGACATTTGCCGGCACCCCTTCGAAAATGGCGAGAGCATGTCCCAATTATGACTGATAGTTTTGACAACTGCTGGATTGCAGAATGCTGCGGGCGCTTGGAGGAGGGGGGGGCGGGGCGGTTCGAAAATCATTAGTTTGCGAGAAGAAGTCTCATGTTGATCAGCGCGTGTGGCTCGCAGGAAAATTTCACAAGTCATGATGCAAACCAGCATAGGTTGACCTTGACAAGTCATTCCTTACAAGTCTGGATCATAGCACTATGTTGCATACGGTAGGGTGGCTTCAGTTGTCGGATGCTGTTGAGTTCGATTCTGAGCATTTGCAGAAGTGCAACAGAAGCAGCAGCTGTTGTGTTCGGCCATGCAGTGGAGTGACGATGACCACAAGGTCGCTGTTGGTGCAAGCTTACACCTTGGCACATTCTGTGCCTTGGGCAGGAAGTGCCACCGTTCTGGCTGTTGACAAAGCCTCCTCCGCCGTCAGAAGACGAGAAGCTTCAGGCCAGTTGCAGATGTGACAGGGAGGAATGTGGGATTTGTATTCGAAAGGCTTCAGCCGCTCCCAGTGCAGCTCAGCTTTACCAGCAGAGGCTTCGGATGCTGACGTTGGTGGCTTGCATGTGCTCTGCTATCTGGCTCAGCCGGCAGGGAACTTCAGAAAGTCGATGCTTTCGTGGAGACGGATACCTGCATCCTGCCGCTGGCTCCGAAGGTGCTTGCGAGAGTTGAGACCGTAGTGTCTCAGTTCAGTTCCGGATTTCAGCACCCTGGAAGGCCCAGCTCGGCTCTGCCATTCATGATCGCCACCGCGTGCTGCAGGCGCCTCTACTCATGGCACCGCTGTTGTGCTAGCTGCTAGCTGGTTATGAGCGACAAACTTGCGAGTTTGTTTCATCCTCTGACGTTCATCGTTCAGGTGAGCCTTGGCAGAGAGCATCTTGGCACAGATGTGTGTCCGTGCCGGATCAAAACTCGCACGGCTCCGACGTGAGATTCCATATCATGAAGGTGGAAGATGCATGTATTGATTCAACATCTCGAGCATCGAGTTCGCATCGGTTGAACGATTTCGTTTGTGCCGAACCTTAAAACGCTGGATATTGTTTACTTACACACCAAGCCCTGATGCTCCTCAGCCCTAAAAATACCCAACAGCTGAGGCACGGCATTCTACTGTCTGATGCGGGGATCGCTTTCACTTGGGGTGACAACCGCTTTGGCCAGCTTGGCCGAGAGCCGGTGATCAAGGAGGAGAACGGCAGGCTTGGCAAAGACCAGGGTCACGAGTCACAGATTGCAGCAAGGACAAGACGTGTACTTACCAGGACACATGTACATGACGAAGTCAGCACGAACGGCGGATACAGACATATGTACATACACCCATACATACATGAAGTTAGCGTGTATCAATATGTATAGACAGAAAGGCTTGTGCACCTTATAAAGGTCCGAAACTTGTAAGTTCTGGTTCGTTAGGAAACAAGCAGTGGTCTCCGAGAAGTTTGTGTTTGCGCTTTTGTGCAGGCCGTTCCCCGTGAAGGGCTTGGTCGGCTATGAAGTCACTCAGGCGTTTGGCTTTTCCCGGAATTTGAAGGTCGGCTGTTGCCTGGCGGTCTCTCCATCAGGTGTCTGCAGGAATGCACCACTGCTTAGCACTGGTGGCACCTGGCTTGGCCCGGAACTGAGAGTCAGATTGAGGAAGGCAGCCTGCCTGGTCTTGATGCATCCTGGTAGCTGAGGTCTGGTCTTGGGGGCGCAATAAATCCGGACAGCTGGGTGTTGGTGACTACAGGCAGGAGTTCCAGAGTTTTCCTGTGGATTCAAAAGAGAAGTTTGACAGGGACCGGATTAACCCGGAGAAGGTCTGCAGCGGCCTCGGGGACGCAGGGCTTCTAGTGGACTCTTGATGGGATTCTCTGCAATCTCGTCCGAGGCCATCCGCCCGTCACCGACAACCCGGACGAGTCGGGATTCCAGCGACTTGCTTGTAAATTCCAGCCTTTTCGCCTTCGCTCCCGTCCGCTTCCCCTTGGCGTTTGCAGCCCTTCAGGTTGGGTGCGAACAAAGACGGCCAGATCATTTCAGAGCCTTGGCGAAATGCGGCTCCTAGCAAGTTTAGCTTTTGTGTTAGTCGCAGAGAGTGGTTTGTTTTGTTGGTCCCATGGTGGATACTCGCGTGCTTTTGCAAAGGTCTCGGCCGGATGCCTCAGTTGTCCTGCAACACAGTCGCGAGTTCGCTGGTGTTGGCCGAAGACACTTCAAGCTTCAGAGTTCCAAAGCGAACCTTGTTTCGAAGCCTTCATGTGGAGCATTTCGTGTTTGAGTGTCAGGCCGGCACAGACAGCTCTGTGGCTGCCGCCCTGAACTCCAACATATGGCAGTGCCGGAGTCGAATTATTGATGCATATTTTCTTGTACTGGGCGGTTATTCAGAGCGCCCACAGTGCACCACTCTCGCTCTAAACCGTGTGCCCAGGTGGGGACAGATATCTGATGGGTTTCAGGCGCGAAAGCTTCAATGTGTGACTCCCCGCGTTGCGGGCCAGGGCACACAATCACAACGTCAGTCTTGTATCTTTTGCTGAAGAGTCCGAGCACCTTCTGCTTTCGATATCTTGCGACGAAACTAGATGGCACATGGGTTCTTTTCCCATCTCTTGCCCATCAGGACCAAGTTGTCACCAGCGACAAGTCCAAGAAGAGCAGCATTGCTGTTGTCAAGAACAGGCAAGGAGCAACATAATGCACTTCGAGTTAATTTTTTTGAAGTTCTAAGTTGCAGCGTGTCATGCCCTTCGTCTCCAGGCCCTTCCGGGTCTTTCAGAAAGACGAGTTCCGCTCGCAGATGCGAGCAGGCCAGGAAGTCGCTGGGAGCTGACCGCACCGGCATGTGAAAACTGCAGTCCCCGAAGGACGAGTCTCCATTTCCTCGACCGGCTGTAAAGTCTTGCATCAGGCCGCGGAGTCGTTACAGATTGGTTTGCCTCACTGGATTTTTCTGTGCAGGACACCTACACCGACAAGGTTCGAGTTGAGACGCTGGTCCAAGGGCTGCAGTCTATGCAGGAGAGCATCAACAAGGCGAGGCAGCTTTTTGTATGTCGAGGCAAGCCAAGAGATCCTGCATCTTGTGATCTGTGTCGCAGGAGCGGCTGGATATTGCTGCTCTCGATGCTCAGCAAGTCAAGCAGAAGGCTGCTTGGAAGACAAGCGCTGGAGGCCGACTTTTCCGCAGCCCATGCTGACCAGGACGGAGAGGCGCAAGCTGGTGGTGCGACGGAGAACGAGCTCGACACGCTGCAGGCAGTTCAGCCTGGCACCGGATCTCGCTTGCCCTCTCAAGTGTTGCTCCGTCAACGCTATGGCTGCGAGAGGACACCATCGGCGAGCTCGAGCACGACATCATGGTGCACGAGCGGGAGCGCTTTATCCTCTTATCACCTCATTCATGCAGTCGTGTTCTGAGCACAAGCCACTTACGTTGTCGTGCGAGGACATCGATGCACTGACCAAGAGCCTCGAGAGTTGCGATCTTCGTCAGGCATGGGCTGGGGACTGGCTTGCAACCCTGTACGGAAAGCTCGGAAGTGATTTCGCGCAGACCCACAACCGGAAGCAGCTCCAGCAACTGCAGCAGCTGCTTGGATCATTGCTTCGGCAGATCACCGGACGGAGTCTTTGAAAGTCCCCAGCCCAGGCAGGGCACTTCCTTGCACGACCGGCAGGACCAGGCTCCAAGTCAAGTCCCCAAGGCCCAAGGCTCGACCTTAGCTCCTCGCTGCGGCGCAGGTCTCCCTTCAGATCTCCATGGCTCCGAAAGCTGGCGCCGAGAGGAGGAGCCCAAGGGAGGTAAGAAGGGCTCGAAAGGGAGAGTGCTACAAGCTGGGATATCCAATGAACTGGCTTCAACCCCAGCCCGAGAGCGGGCGATCTTTGGAAAGAGCCCAGGTGACTCCCACGCAACAGGGTTTGCAATTGAGACTCAAGACTTTCTGCAGCATGCCGCCACCCCACAGCTCTCGCAGGAAGCTGGAGGAGCAGCTGGCCGAGGTCCCACTTCTGTCGGGTAGAGTTTGTATTTTCTTAAGCATTCGTTGTTATAATCATGGTACAAGATACGCAGAAGCAGAAACCCGAGTCTACTCAATAACCCCCACCCCCAAATTACTGCCCCCGCCGGGGCCACGCCATGCCATGTCTTCTATGCAGATGCTCTAGAATCTAGAAGCGCCGTGGACCATCGGCAGGTAGAGGAGTTCGTGCAGGCGAACAAGAACACACGTGCCCAGGCAGCACCTATGTAAGTCTGGGGAAGCATGCCAGGCGATAAATCGCCGGAGTTTGGTGGTTTGCCACGCCCGAGGCATGACGCTTCTGGACCAGAGAGCAGAGACCGACAAGGACGGCAAGTTTTTTTCTTTGAATTCGCAACCCTCACATTCAACTGAAGACTTCAGGAACATCACCAGCATTGATGTTGTCTGCCATAGTAGTTGACAGAAGTGGCAATGCTTCGCTCGGCAAAGCAAGCTTTGAATGCTTTTGGCCCAGAGATGCCGCGAGTAACAGGAGAAGCAAAGCATTGCTGCCCAGCTGGCCGACTTGCGCAGGCGCAATCCGCCCTGGGTGTAGCGTCGGCTCGGTGATAATGCCGAGCCCCGAGGCAGAAAGATCGAGCTGAGCGCCGTCTGGGAATAGCCAGGGGCCGAGTCTGCGAAAGAGAGTTCTGCGAACTTGCCGCTTGTGAGTCTTAAGCGGTGTTGTTGAGAGCTGAGCACTAAAGCCTTACTGGCCCTCCAGGTCCGAGACCTGAGCAAATCGACGCAGGCCGAAGCCATGGTCATGGAGTCACCGCCAGTCACCGCGTAAAGGCTTTTAGGACTGGACCGACCCTTGGCAAGCGAGGCAACCAGCTCCGGCGCCTCGGACCTCCTGATCAAGGCGATTCTTTGACGTGGGGTTTGGGCCATGGGCCATTGCTTCGAATCTTGCGCTTGCATATTTCGTGAGATGCTGCAAAGATCTTGCGTGGGCGGTATTGCCAGAGTCGGAACAACTATGGGAGGTCCTGCACCAGCAATGCACAGAGGTGGAAGAGTGCTCCTCCCCCCGGGGCTAGCGTGTGTCCGCAGACCTCGAAGACAGCCGATCTGCAGGTATTTTGAGAATCGCAAGGACACTTCGAAGGAGGACAACGACTTCCTGGCGGCCATGAAGATCCTGGAGATGGCGCGGTGCATTATTGTGATCGTGCCCGGTGAGTGTTCCGTTGAATGTTGCCCGAGGACAAAGCTTTCCTGGACAGGGTGGAAAATAAGATGAAAGAGAAAATGAAGGCCGGATGATATTCAGCACGCTTCCCTCGTGAGCACCGCGTTTGCGTGTCCTTTCAGGAAATGATCGATGGGAATATGCGCAATGGTGACAGATTGCGCAGCGACCGTGCGCAGATGGTACGGAACCCGTCGTTCACGACCGCTTCGAAAATCGCAGATCGAGATGTTTAGTTCGAGGCTGTCGTGAGGCTCTTGTCGCTCAGGTCTTCTTGATGCTGTCTGACCTAATACACCTCCGAAAGTCCTGGTGTGAAATCTTGCAGGTGCGGGCATGTGCACGTGTGTTGTGGTGGCACCGCAAGTCAGTTATTGCCAATACAACAGCATTTGGCTGAAAACTGGACTGGAAGCTTGTGAGTCGTCATTGCAGGACCACTGGGCTAAAGATGGTGTGCAACTGAGCGAGCGTGCGACGCAGAAGCGCAGCCACCAGCAGCAAGCGTGAACGCCATGTGCTGAGGCCTGGATCTCTCCTGCTTCTTCCAAGGCTCGAAGAAGCCGTCGTCGGAAATGCCAGTCTCGATCTCAGCCCTGTTATATCATAACCAGTAACTGGTGTTTGTCCTGCTTGCTCTTCGTTGCTTTCCAGGTATTGGCCGAGGATGACCAGGATTGGACCTTTCAGAGAGCGCATCTTCCAGTTCGAAATCCATTTGCAATGCATGTGTCAGCAGAGCAAGCGACAGCTGGACGCGCACGTCTGTGTCTCTAGACTGTTGCATGTCTGCTGCTGCGGTCCTTCTCAGTTCCTCAGCCTGATCTCCCATCTGCCTGCGGGTCCGGGACCCCCGGCTCAAACCATCCGAAAGCCTTCCAGGAAGGGTCGGCATCTATGCTTGCAACGCCGGGGCCTCGAGGTCCTTGCGGCCCGGTGTCGGTCGTGGCTCTGGGAACCCATGTTTCCTTTGCACACCCTCACGGTCAGCACGCACAGCCGAAACCCAACTGCAACGTCGACCGGTGTGGCACTAATCAGGTGGCGCGCAGCCTCATGCATGTGGAACAGGTTGTACATAGCTTCAGAAACTTGCGATTGCATGGGTTCCACATTACATTGCTAGTGCAGTCTCAGGGACGTGTGGCATCAGTGTCGTCGGTGTAATGGAGATGCCTGGAAACTTCAACCTGTTCACACTCTGGGATGTGTGGTATGGATGTACCCGTCAGCGTGGCCTGAATGAAAGCAGCGCTGCCACAGTGCCGAAGTCCCAACAGGTCTTAACCAGTGCCATTCCAACAAAGTTAAAACAACGCCTGGAACGCACGGCAGAGGCCTATGATGCCGAGCCTCCTGCCATTCGGCGCATCTCCAGATGTCCCTGCCCCGGGGAATCTTCAGCCAGCCAAGCACAGCGCCTCACTTCCCTTTTTTAGCTGTATTTTTTGTTGTGTTTGACAGGATGCCATGGTCGACCGGCGGTAGCAAAGACGCCTTCCGCCGCCAAGTCTAACACACGAGCGCCGACCTCGGCTTGGGCCGTCTCTCGAGGCAGCCCTCGCCGGTGCAGCCCTCGCTTGCTCAAGCGATCCACTGTTCGCTGAGGTTCTGCCAAAGATGCTCTGGAACTCTGACTCGAGAACGAAACTTTGGAGGTACCCTCTTGTCCCGGGTCTGGCAAGGAAAGGTCTGCTCACAAGAAGCAGGAGCCTCGAAGGTGAAAGCCGAGCGCCAAGCTCGAAAGATCACCTTTCGCTTTCAGCGACTCTGCTGAAGAATTTGCCCGCCTGAGCATCTGTAAGAAATTGTATCAGTTTGCTGGTTCAGTTGCTCCGGTGACCCATAGCTTAACTGGCAGTGATGCTTGACAAGACGTTAGGCATCTTGCCTGGGCCCTAGTGCCTGTCAACGTGTCCGAGCTGCAGGACCTCTTGGCAGCTAAAAAGTGCGAGACCAACGCATTGTAGACATTGCAGGTGTGTCATCTAAAATCCAGCTGACTTGCTTGCATATTTACATTGCGCATGTGCACCTGAAGCTTCTGGGTACACAGGCTTTCTTCCCGGAATTTATGCTCACTGTCAGCAATTACAGCGTAGATGAAGTAGAAGTGCCATGCATGTGTCGGCCCAGAAAGGCAAGACTTGGTTTAATTTGCGAAATTTGCGGAGCTCTGAAGGGATGAGGCTTGCATGGCTCATCCAGAATGCAGTCGGCGGCCTTCGCCCAATACAAGGCAGGGTGGTGAGAAGTCGGCAGAATCAGAAGCACAGTTTTGCCACGGGGCCGGTAGAGACACCATCGCCCGTTTCAGCAATTCAGGCGCCGCGGCACGCGTGGTGCGGCGGAAAGGTGGCACAGCCGGGCTCGGCCTCCAGCGCCGGGACCTTCTGGCGCTGCTGGAAGGCAAGGCTCCAGCAGCTTGGCTCGCTCTGCGACCCTGCCCGGCCCTGCCTTGATGGACCTTCGATGTGTCTGCATCGTCATGACAGTCTAATGATTGACTGCTTAACATGGAATGCAGATGTCAGGTACGAAACAGCAGGGTTGTGTTTGGATTAAGGCACATGTTGATGATCATTGTTAGGCTGACGATGCAGAAATCTGCGATCAATGTTTTCGTCTATTTAAGGTTAGAGTGAGGATCGTTGTGATGATCACTGTCGTTGTTGCGATCAATGTTAGAATTCATCATTGCTTGCAGCAAAGAAATGTCAGAAGCGGTAGTACTGTAGTTGTCCTAGTCGAAGAGTCATGGCAGTTTTCATGGTTGACAATGTTTCGGAATGTCAGGACAGGAGTTTCAGTAGTGTTATGTAGTCTTTTCTGTTCACCGTTGTTAATCAGTGTTCTGTTGCTGCTGCTACTACTACTACTACTACTACTACAGTTTGGGCTAGAATTCACCAGGATGTATGTTGACTCCCTGCTTCGTGTACTCAGCCATGCAGGAGGCAAAAAACTACTACTACTACTACTACTACTACTACTACTACTACTACTACTACTACTACTACTACTACTACTACTACTACTAAGTTACTACTACTACTACTACTACTACTACTACTACTACTACTACTGCTACTGCTACTGCTACTGCTACTGCTACTGCTACTGCTACTGCTACTGCCACTGCCACTGCCACTGCCACTGCCACTGCTACTGCTACTGCTATTGCTATTGCTACTGCTACTGCTGCCACTGCTACTGCTGCCACTGCCACTGCTACTGGCTTCGGCCGCTGCTACTGCCACTGCCGCTGTTGCTGCGGCTGCCGCTCCGGCTGCTGCTGCTGCTGCTGCTGCTGCTGCAGCTACAGTGCTGCTACTGAGTCCAATATAGTCGACTTGACTTCAACTCGTCATGAGTCAGTATCTGCATCTTGCCAAGAGAAGTCGTCGATGAATTGCTTGAGTACTCTTTGTATACCTCTTCGTGTCATTATAGCTACTGGGTGGCAAGGTGCTGGTGCTTCCTGGTGCCATCTCAGATGAAGTCTGCCGAGAAGCCAGTGACTGGCTCCTCCAGCAGTCTGCAGCAGCGGAGCACTCAGGCCAAAACCGGCGTCGAGAGTTTAGACTAAGAGCTTGCTCGTGCGGGCGGCCTGTGCATACGCCCGAGATTTCGAAACGGAATCGTGCACTTCTCCTGAGCTGTGACCAGACGCTCTCAGCGAAGAGGCGGCTCCTCGGCCCGGCGCTTTGCCGAGTGGCGCTTGGGCCGTGATCCGGCCGCCTGGCTGCAGCCAGAGTGAGGTTTTTGTCTCGAATTTCTCAGTGCGAGCCTCATGCTCAGCCTTGTCTGAGGATGCACCGGCTTCCGACTACAGCAAGCTCGGCTACACGAAAACTGATGTGCTCATACAAGAGGGTTCCGGCCTCAGTCCTCAGTCCCTTGCAGGCTCTCTGTGCGAATTGCCGCGGACCAGGCTTCCGCATGAAAGCCTCGACGCCTTCCCCCGACTCCTACCTTCAGCGCGCAGAAGAGACGACAAAGAGCTTGATCTCCGCTTTCCCACCAGGCTCGGCTATGCGCGGATCTATTCGCGGTTTGGGTTTGATACCCTTTCATGTTGCCTTTAGAGGCCAGTTCCCCTTGGACGTGATCCGGGAAGAACTTAATTCGTTGCCTGCGGTCACCTGCCGGCTGGAGCGCTGCCCGCGCACAGCACGGGAGTTTCTGCCCTGCGTGGTGCGGCGAATGGTGCCGGGCACGGGGCTTACCAGCTCGCATGCCCTCATCGGCGAGGTAGGGAGAAATAGGCAGTGGAGATTTTTCCAAGGTGGCCGACGCCGAGAAGGCAATGTGCACATGGACAGTGTCACACCTGGAAGTACGCTTTCGGTCAACGTGTGCCATGCAGCATGGTCATTGAGAAGGGAGCCTTGAGTAATTGAGATTGCGGCTTCTGTGTTGCATCGGGCGCTCATCGCTGCGCAACGTCGCTCGAGCTTAGGTATCTGCGAGTTCCTGAGGAGTCTTCTGGTGGAGAGTTGCTTCTGCATGCCCTCCAGAAAAATGCATTCCAAAGATTCTTGAGCCTCGGATTTAGTTGTTCTTTTTTTTTGGTTGCGAGCTGGTTGTGCACCCTCCTGGGAACTGTCACCGAGTTTGGCACCTTACAGTGCCCGTCGTCTCATGTCACCTCACCTCAAGCTTGCAATCGTCGCGATTGTTGTCGTTTCATAGGCCAGAGCAGGATCACAATGTGTCATATGCTTTGATGAAGTCGCTTCAGGAAGTCAGCTGACCTGAGGAATGCCCACTTCTTCGAGACAATTGACATGCAGAACTTCTATCCAGACCACAAGTTTTACACGCAGGAACTGCAACAATCTTCTTGTAAGAACTGTCCCTTCTGCTCCGTGACGAAGCCGTAAGCCTGAGAATGAGCTGCCGCGAGACTTCGTTTCAAGAGCGAAGAGGTCTTTGTCCGGAATTCTCGCCGTACTGCCGGGCAAAAAACCTGCAGGAGATGCTCGAGCGTATTGAGCCCATCGTTCCGGCCTCGGGCGGAAGCAGAACTCCAGCTCAAGGCTCTCAAGCAGCTTAGGTTTACCGTCCTCGTGTCGGCGACGTTGTCTTCATTGATTCTTGGTTGCATATTTGTTATTGATGAAGTCTGCTCGACTCTACTGCTTAGATTAGCCAAAGGAATGAATCTCGGTGTCGGTTAGAACAGATTTGATTGCACCGGTCGTATGACGTTTCGGATCAAGCGTGGATGTGT